CTAGATGACCAGAGACGACAGGCAAAATAAACAATGGGAACGAAATAACCAAAAATCTATTCGTCATCAAATATATGGAAGAAAATAGAAATATGGATCTGACACACACACACTCAATAGACTGCTGAGTGATATCAGACGCCAATCACAACCTTGATTGGGACCCAAATGAGAGTTGGTCCGATGGTCACTTGGGTAATAAAAGCCTACTGGTAGTCATGGAGCCAGCTAAAGAGGATTCCAGGAAATAGGATGAAACAGAAATATACTGTTGAAGCCACTTGTTCCACTCGGAACCTAGGCAAAGTAATCATAATAAGAATAGTGACTGTAGTGAAAGAATCTGATTGGTTGTTTATCTGATAGACAATCAATATTTGTGTACATTTTAAAATTCTGACTGACAGACTACCAAACTAGTCTGTAATTAGACACATAAATAAGATAATTTCACTGTTTTCAAGAGATTGATTTACAGGAGACGAAATACAAATTCATTCGAAGTCTAATTCAACAATATTTTTTTAAAAACGCATTGGTATAAATTTATCTTTCCCTCCAAAGTATAAAGGGTAGAAGGTTGTGTAAAGAATACGAGAACAATAAACAAAATGGACACACCCAACAAGTAAGTAAGTAAGTAAGCCTGACAGTGTAGTGGTAGGAAAAAGATCCCTTTTAGCTGAATCTCAATCAATATTCGAGAATTCGGTATGTGAATAGGAGGATTAGAAAGAAAATTACCAGTTTCCTTTGATAAATAAAACAAAATTAAAGGCAACAATAACAACAACAACAATTAAGGTGTGGCTCTTCATAGATTAGAAACATTATCTTTAATCTTAGAATTCTACTGCCCAGTCACACGACACGCACTCCCAACTAACATTCAAGTCCCTTGTCACACAGATCTGATAAGCTCCCTCAATGAAACAGAAATAGAGTTTTGGGAAGCCGTGAACAGTAGGGTACAGCAGGTTGAAGGTGAGGCAGTAACTCGTCGAAGAAGACATTGAGAAGTGGCCGCGCTATGTCATGAATTGTCAGAAGTTAGAATTCATGGGCTGGCCATTGGATCGGGTCCCAGTGGCCTAATGGTCTACCGACTGGTCTTTAATCAGAAGGTCCTGGGTTGGGACTCTGGTGTGGGATCCATACTGATGAAGAGTCCCAAACTAGTCTGATGAAACAGCTGACTGTCCAGTACTTTCTGGCAGGTTTTCCAATGGTCCTCTAACTGCTGTCAGCTCGTGATGAAACCCTGCAACCAACCAAAAATGGAATGAAAAATGTTTCTTTACTTGGGGGTTAATATATAATACCACATGTGGTCGCCGTTCGACTTCTGGCTGACAAACTCCTAAACTTAGCTGCTTAATCTGTAGTAAACTAGTTAAGAAGAAGCTTCAGTGTAAGGCTAGCGGCCAGGCCCTGTGAAAACAAACAATACCACTACTGCTGTGGTGTGTGCTACTGACAAGATTTATCAGTAGTATATATAAAGAGATGTTCATCAGCACACAATAATATCAAATAGTGGAGAGATAGATTTCACGTCAATGAGAGGCTTAAATGAACCACTCTGGCGGTGAAACATGAGAGACACGAAAAAAAGAAATAAAACACACGGAGGAGGGGGCAGAATAAAAATAATAATATCTTTATTCAGGACAGTATTTACTCACTCAATTTACAGAATTTTCAGAGGAGTTTATTGCATGATATTCTCCCTTCGTAGAATATCTTCAAGTAGAATATTAATTGACAGTTTATCTTCTGACACAATGCTGTATGAGCTGAAGAACAGACCATTCCGTTATGATATATCTGATTTATCTCCTTCCTTCAAGAAATCCACGATATCGATCAAGTTGAAAGCCAACTGTAAGATGCTCAGAAGTATATTTTCAGACCCAACGACATATTTGAAGAAAAGTTGCCTCATGTATTGAAACACGTTGCCCCAACAATCAGGCCTTTCCACAAGTTTAGTTGGAACTTGCAAATCAGGAGCTTGTAAACATTTTAAAGACCCAACAGAGTAGATGATACCATTAGAGGTCATACCTTAATCGGTTAAAACAGACTGAAGGAGAGAAAATATGTGCAACAGAGAGAGACGGAAGTTTATGAAAGCCCACATTTTAAGGAGGCTGCCAACAACCACTAACAGAAGTAGTACAACACAGAGGATCTGTTACGCAAATGACGATTTCAATGTTAAGTATACATAATTCCCTTATATGTGTATATCAATTTGCATATAAACATCCCATTACTAAATCTCTTGTCTTCTCCCATTATACTACTATCAAAGTTTCGAAGCTTAAACCTTGAGAGCGTTTAAATTCCATTCTGAACGGAAAGGAATAAAAAAAGACACTGTGATATAAAATGAAATGTTCGAATAACAAGATACACGAATAAAACTTCTGCATTGTGGTATTCACAGAGTATGATCTCATCATAGAGAGAATCAGTCTTTAGACCAGGAACAAGGTGTATTGATCATATCTTCACCCTTCGACAGATTCTGGAACATAGGCATACTTACTGTCAGCGTCCAACAATCGTCATATTTCTTGGCCTGAAAGCAGCATTCGATTCGGCTGACCGAGGCATATTATGGGGATGTTCGGTAGTGAAGGGAATGCCAAGAAAACATATGGCACTGATCAAGGAGCTCACTCTACTCGAACTCATGCAGTCAGCAACGTGAGACAGCCAACGGAGAGTTGTCATCTGACAACTATGGTGCGAAGCAGTGGTGACAGTCAAGGATGCCAGCCCAATATCCCTATTTCTGTTTAGTTTCATCACAGATGTACTAATGGACATCACCCTAACTGAATTCAGCGACTCAGGGATTGACCTGTTATCATCAGGGAATAAGCTCGTTGAATTAGAACATGTGAATGATATGGTCCTTCTAGGAGAAGACGCTGAAATAATGCAGAGTCTTCTCAACAACTTGAGGAGCAGCAATCTTCGAGTGTTTGCCATGCGATTAGCTCCCTTTGTCAAATGTAAGGTGATGAAACTGTAGGACTAGACTACGTCGACACACTCCTGGTTTAAAGATAGAGAGGGAGTGAAGTGGTCGGTGGAGCGTGTTAACCACGTCACTTAATTAGGGAGTTGCATCAGCCAGTCCCAACGGGTTGATCGCTGACGAAATCTCAGCATGGATACAGAAGACTCCTTTGTCATTTACTAGCCTATGTGGCTGGCTTAAACTAATTTTTGTGGGTTTCACTGACTGATGAAGCCGTGTTTTGGTTTGACCAACACTGGCCTTCTCTTTTTCAACCTGATTTATCCTATGTCAGTTAACATTGACCGTCTGGGAGGGCAATGGCTAGGTATACGTAACACATGTCCTAACCATCTCAATCGATGTAGCTTCATATGATTTTCCCTCTTCACCTAGTACTCGACTGATGCCTCGCCTTAATACTACTCACCTTATTGTGCCACCAAACACGGGGGATACAACATAGACACCTATGATCAAAGAAATTTAACTGGCCTTTTCATTTCATCCACTTTCAATGGCCATATCTCACTTACAGCCATAAAGGAGGATAGAGTGTGCTGCTGAGCAGTACACATGTCTTTTGTTCGCTAACCGGTCGCATATCACGTCTACTAAGCCAGAGATGGCGCAAGTTAGCTGAAAAATGCCAGGGATCACAACCCGTTGGCACTAGCTGATGCAACTTCCCAAATAAGTGAAGTGATTAACGCGCCACACCAACCACTTCACTTCCTCTCTATCGTTAAGCTAGGAGTAATTCGATGTAATCCAGCCAAGTAGCATCACCTTTCATTTGACAAAGGGAGTGAATCACATGTCAAACATTCGAAGATTGCTACTCAGCTCAAGGTGTTCACAAGACTCTGCATTTGTCAGCGTCTTCACCCCACCTAGGACGGAGGACTATATCATCTGCATATTCTAAGTCGAAAATCCCTACAAAAGAAACTCATCATATAACTAAATATCAATCTCCACCTCACTGATGGCCAATGGGTACCTGTCCTGAGAAGGCATGACTAGTGTCTAGGCGAAGTGAATACCAATCGAGGGAATTGGTTAGCACTAGTTCTATATCACAAATTGACAGAAGTTAGAATTCACAAGTCATTGAAATCCAGTCTCTCCCCCTGAAGTGGCCGCTCATGTGACTTTAATGTCCAGATTCGATCTCTGGTGAGGTTGTGCGTATGCTTTGCCAAAGAGTCCCAAACTCGGACGAAACAACTCACTACTCTCTCTCTGTAGGTTTTCAATGGTCACTGTCTTGACGAAAATCTAACACCCCTGAAAATAAAACGCGCCAATCTCCTCTTCCAAAACACAACTACTTCGTTACAGGATTTTCATCATGAGCTGACATTAGTTAGAGAACCATTGGAAAACCTGGGAGTACTGGACAGCTGTTTCGTCCTAGTGCAGCAGGTTGGGTGTGAGGAAAAATACTCGCCGAAGACATTGGCTAGGGGTCGCGCTATGTCTTGAATTGGCAGAAGTTAGAATTCATGGGCCGTTGGATCGGGTCCCAGTGGCTTAATGGTATACGAGCTCGCCTAGTAACCAGAAGGTCCTGGGTTCGAATCCCGGTGCGTGCGTACTGATGAAGAGTCCCAAACTATGACGAAACAGTTGTCCAGTACTCCCAGGTTTTCCAATGGTTCTCAAACTAATGTCAGCTCATGATGAAAATGCTGTAACCAATCAAATCCCTACAAACCAACACTTGAACAACTACTTCGACTTTCTTCTATTTTATTTTTGTACAAGAGCAAAAATTAATGATGAAACAGGAGAAAGAAAAAGAAGGAGAGAAACAAAAAAGTGAAACGAAAACAATGACAGATTTAAACAACAACAACAGCAACTTGGGTAGATCTAATGATCAATCATCACAAATCGGTTAAGAAGCTGGATGAGAACTGAACGCATGAATGAATGAACAATAAATAATTACAAAGTCAATTAATGATATGTACAGCAAATAAATAATGAAATTATTAAATTAATTAATTAATTAAAAAATAAACAAAATAATAAATTAATTTATACAACTTTAGATGAATAGAATAAATATGCATGCATATATGTATATATATTACAACAGTCTAGATATTTATCAATCTAATTGAACATTGAATGATATTTTGTTTTACTGAACTAATTAATTCGAATTGAATAACGATTTTAACATATGGCGCTTAAATGAGTATCAGAATCGATAGCTGAATCAGTATTATCATCTGTCTTATTATTATTATTATTATCATCATTATTCTCATTATTATTATTAATACATTTATTATGTATTGTACGTTTTAAATGTTTTATTGCTTTATCAAGTCTTTGAATAAAGATATCAACATCAGATTCTTTCTGACCAATTGCTGCAGCTGCATTAATATAAGGCAATGTAGATGTTGAACTGTGTGAATTAAATCCCGCGAATTCGTAGACATCTAATTTAGTTGGATTTTGCATTGATGCTGGAAGGACAACCCTGAAATTAAAGCAAAAAAAATAAAATAAAATAAAATTTAACATTAGATCATGCAGGAATACGTGAAACAGAGGGAGTCAAATAACTTTCGGATTGAGTCAGTAGTAAACGGCTGCAATAGTTTAAGTTATATCATGAACTGACACGAACTGTTGAGTACTGGACAGATGTTTTGTCCTTTTTTGGGACTATCCCTCCCCCCTAAAACAGTACACACCTATCACTCCACGGGGTTGGTTGACTGGGTTTCAAATTACAACTCTACGCAGATATGCAACAGCAGTTCATGGGAAAACATCAGGGTTCAATAAATATGGGAGATCACAGAGAGAGTGAGTGAATCTGAGCCACTGAGAACGAATTTCAAGCTTTATCACCAATAATCTCCAGTTTAATTGTAAGATGCTGGTACACGACTGGACTACGTCAACTCCTAGCTTAGTGATAGGGAGTGAAGTCATAGAACATATTGACCACTTCACCTATTTAGGAAGTTGTATCAGCACCAACGGATTGATTGGCGACGAAATCTCAGCACGGATCCAAAAAGCTCGAGCTGCCTTCGCTAACTTACGCCGTCTCTGGCGTAGGCGTGACATCCGGCTATCAACCAAGGGATGTGTGTACTGCTCAGCAGTTCGCTCCGTCCTTCTCTATGGCTCTGAAACATGGCCAATACGAGTTGAAGACATGAAAAGGTTGACAGTTTTTGATCATAGATGTCTACGACCTCTTTCTCACGTCAGGTGGTATAATAAAGTTAGTAATGTTGACGTTAGGCGCAGAGTGTTGGGCAAAGATGGAAAATCAATCGACGAGGCTATAAAGTTACATAGATTGAGATGGCTAGGTCACGTGCTGCGCATGCCTAACCATCGCCTCCCCTGACGCGCATTACTAGCTGATATAGGTAGGTGCAGGTTGGAAAAGAGTAAGTGGTGGCCAAACAAAAACATGGCCTCATCAATCCATGAAATCCTTGACAGTTAAACTGAGTCAGGTAGGGAGATGCAGACTTCTGGTTTTGGGCTCTCGGGACTCTAAGAATCAATGACTGGAGACACTAGGTGACATGGCTCAAAATCGTTGTCAGTGGCGCAGATGTATTGAGTCTCCCTAATCTTTCATATTCCTTTCTACCACTACTCATTCTGTTTCGCTCTTATACTTGTCAAAACTCGATTGATTCTCTTCACTCATTTTCTTGTCTACCTTTGTGTGCTATTTGGAACGTGGCAACTCGAACTTCTGCACTTCGGTGCCAAGTTCTATGTTGAATCTAGACAGACCAGACAGAATCTCCAGTGATTGATTCTTAGCTGTCAAAGACTCCATAGACTGGTACCAGTTTTGGTGTGACCACACCTCTAAGAGTAGAATGCCATCATCTACTTTGTTCGACACAGATAAATTAGGCGGCCCTAGTACCATTTAGTCCACTGGGACGGAATCCAGTGACTGGACTGGCGCATATCAATTGCAAATTCTGCTAATTTGTGATCTACAGCACAACTGCAAGCCGATGGCATCAGTGAGTATTTCTCTAAACACGTGATTTCGGTGTACCGCATCGGTTACGACTTCTCATTAGAGAACTCTAGTCAATTTCAACCCATAATAAGTCACTTGTAAGCCACTAGTAACCGGCTCTCCATTCGAAACCTGGTGGGTAGGTAATGTCGATGAGTCCAAAAAGTAAGACAAAACAGCTTTCTAGTACTCACTGCAGTACTAGTTTTCAGTGGTTCACTAACTGATATCAATCCGTGATCACACATGAAACACCCGACCGATAGCTGCTATCTTGACGTGGTGGTCGGGCTTGCGCACATCGCAATGACCCAACAAGCTACACTGGCTGGAACTATTGTTCCTGCAGATCCTATTATGCCAGAAAGGTTGTTAGGATAGAGATTAGACTGATAGCAGTTACCGGCTTAGTGTAAGAATACTTTTACACTATGCTGAGGGTCTGTGGGCGAAGTCGTACTGCTGGGGAACAGGGATGTAACAGCAGTGAGGTGTTTCCCTCAGATGACCAGCATGCCAACCAGCTATGCTGTCTCTCCACTCTAGAGAGAGGGGGTTAGAAAAGGTCGACCCCAACAATTGTACATCCCAACTTACCCCACCTACGGTGGTCCGTAACCGGTGGTTAGTTTACTAATACGGAACCAATCCCAGAAACCAGTTCATACAGGCCATATGTGACCAGCCTCAAGCAGTTGTCCCCTGGACTCAGCGGTCACGCAACACTGACCCTCTTTCTATTTTCAGGTACACGAAGAATCAACCAACTTCCAGGTTGTGGGCAGCCGGGAAGTAACAACCGCCCACACACACTTTCAAGAGCATACGAAGCCTCCGCAAACTGCTGCACATCGGTGCAAAGTTCTACGTTAAAAACAGAGAGACAGACAGACATATGAAGCAAACGAAATCCCTACAAAAGATACCTATGATAATTTTCAAATGTTGGTTTGCAGAAATCTGATTGGTTCCAAGTGCGACCACGGATTGATAACAGTTAGGAAACCACTAAAAACCAAACAGCATTACTGGACAACCATTTTGTCCTATTCTGGAACTCTTCATCATCAATACGCACCCCATGACCCAACCACCGGGGGAGAGGCGGGGAGTCGAACGGACTCAGGATATGAAGCAGATTTTTATGTCACCTTTAATCATAACAATAATCATACAAGAAGACAACTTATACAGACACATATACCACTTACCTAACACCGGAACATCCTTGAGTAAAGAGATTAGCACCAATCTGTGTTATATGCGATGCAAGCTCTTTCATTTCATTACTAATCTGCGTGTTATATCCTTCTTGTTGTTGCTCTTCTTGTTCTTCATCTTCTTTTCGTCTTTCATTAGTTGACGGTAAAAGACTGTCTAAGCTAAGCGCTAATGAAATCGGATTCGAAGGTGTATCCAACAGTTTCAAGTTATGCTTTACAGCTAATTGTTTCAATGCTTCTTGTAGTCGATTGAAGCATACTGATTGTGCATGGATTAAATCATTCCAACCTTTAGAGCCAATATGTAACAGGGTAGCTAGAACATCGAATGTTGGCGTGCCTGATGCTCGACCTATACACAAACACACACATAAAAAGAAATGAAAACGAAAGCCTTTTTAACAGACAGATAACATGCGTTGCAGTCGTGTAGTTGTAGTAGTAGTAGAATGCTTGCCAACCAGGCTTCATGTGTTCCAGCTGACGTACTCCGCTTAACCTTGATGCTTAACTGGGAGGAGGTTAGGCCAACAATCCCACTCCGGAAAAAATAAGACCACTGCTAATGTTTCAGTCGCAAGGCAAAGGAAAAAAATATAAAATAAAGTAAGATGATACATACTACTGATGGATTTGAGTAGTTACAAAGCAAGCCACCCCAATTGATGGACGTGAATGGTCGCCGATTACTCACATGCCGATCAGTCGTTTTATACAGTCTTTCAGATTCACTTGCTTTCCTCTATGCTGGTTATAGTATCAACAAGGATTATTATTATTGTTTCCTTGAACTCCTAAAGGAACATAGGGCTTCAGCCGTGCGTCTCCATTGCGTTCGGTTCTCTGCTTACCACCTTGACGCGCTTTTCGATTAATACGTTACATTTACATCGTTACCTAAAACTCTTATTTTTGTGGAATATCTTGCCAAAAAGTTGCAAAAAACTATTGTAATTATTTGCCTTTGAAACACTGAATCTTTGGATATAATATTGTATATCAATTATACCCATAACTATCTATTTGCCACTCTGTGCTTGTTTAACACTAACTAATATCTATAATTGTATATATATTGATGGATTTACATGTTCAAGTTGGCTCAAGTCAGTGAGTCTATGATTTTGTTATCATTTTGGTTAACTGTAATTGACTGTTATTATTATTATTGTTGTTGTCACTTGTTATCCTCCTTGTTGTGAATTATTTTCCTGTGTTGGTGTTGTCCTGATTGTTTTATTCCTTGTTTTCCTGGTTTTAAGGGGAGCAACCCACAAGGTCACTTCTCTCTAAACTACAATTTAATGTAACAATCCCCTTCTCAGGCGTGAGGCTAGCAACCCCATCCTGTAAACAAAGCTGCTACAGAAACTTCAGCACGATGAATCTCCTTGTGCCATAAGGAAAAGTCAGTGTGGGGACATGGAATGTCCGCACCATGTACGAGATTGGCAAAGCTGCCCAGATCGCAAACGAAATGAATCAACAAGGATTAGGGGTGATGAAATCATCGGCGGCCTGCTTAATAAACTTGGGCTATCGTGAAACCTCCATCAACATATATGTCGCATATAATTTCTCTTATTCAGTTTGTTTAAATCTATTAAAGTTTGACCTTTAATAGAATTGTTTACACTGGCGAGTATTTAAAATATTTACAACCTGCTGATTCGCAAATTTCTGCGAATAAGCATTATCCTCGAGGACTGTTCATCCCAATACATATGATGACTGTTCTTGAGTGGTGTCTTAAGTTCATGAAATGTACTGTTGAAGTTTTTATAGTTGATATTCAACAAAATGTCGTCATGTATTTCTCGAAGGAGAAAAAGAAGAGATATTACACATACTGGATTGATTTAAGCTTCAGGTCAGATAGATAGAACTGCGTCAAACGATCTACTGTCAATCAAATCTTCTATTTGAAGATCCTTCACGAAGGGAAAATATCATGCGATAAACTCCGCTGTAAATTTTGTACATTATATGAGCACTGCTCAGAATAAAATTATTGTTGCCACCATTATTTAAAAAAAATAACATCAATCCAAGAAGCCGCTGACTGTTGCTGAAGTTGCATTAGCCCCAACCGGTTGATCGCTGACGAAAGCTCATCACGGATACAGAGGGCTAATATCGCATACGTCAGTTTACGCCATCTATGCCGTAGACGTGATATCCAGTTGGCTGTCGTGTGTACTGCTCAGCATCAGTCCACTCCGTTCTCCTTTATGACTGACTTTAAGACATGGGGATTGAAAGTGGAAGGCGTGAAAAGCCCAACTAGCTGTCTTTGATCATAGGTGCCTGCGTTCTATCTGCCGTGTTAAGTGATATAATAAGGTGAGCAATATTGAGGTGAGGATTAGTCAACTGCTAGGTGAGGAGGGGAAATCTATAGACGAGGTTGTAAAGTTACATAGATTGAGTGAGATAGTTAGGACATGTGTTACGCATGCATAGCCTAGCCATCGATCGCCTTCCTCGACATGCAGTGTTAGCTGACATAGGTAGAATCAGGTTGTAAAAGAGCCAGCTAATGGTGATCAAACCAAGACATGGTTTCATCAGTCAATGAAATCCATAACAGTTAGTTTAAGCCAGCCACGTAGGAAGGTGTAGACTTCCTAACTGGTTGGGATCCTAGGGACGGTAAAAACTAGTGGCTGGATACAATTGGTGATAGGACTCAAAGTCGTTCTCAATGGCTGGCGCAGATGCAACCACTCCTTGTGACTTTGAATATCCAATGAAATTATATTGTTCTTCGTTATTACCACTCCTTTTGTCTCATATCCCTGTCTACTGTCTCTACTTGGCATTTCTTCTACTTTCTTCTCTTGCTTGGTGTGCTACATGTAGGGAGTGTGGCGACTCGAACTGCTGCACATCGGTGCAAAGTTCTATGTCGAAAATAGACAGACAGTCGTTAACTGGTGGTTTGAGCCAATGTCATGTGTAGGGAGGTATAGTCTGCCTGATTAGGCTCCCTTAGGATGCTAAGAATCAATGGCTGAAGACTGTCAGTGACATGGCGCTCAGATTTCACTCATTATGATCTCTTATGTCAATCACACCCTCAATTTGATTCCTGTACATTTCAACTTTCTGGTGAATTCATCATTTTCCCTCTTCGCCATACAATCGCATTCACATATACAATGTCTTTTTCATGAAAGAGGGTAGTGACAAAAATGATGAGTATTTACAAACATACTTGTTAGTAATTGTCAATGTATACGAGCAGTTGTATTAGGGTGTTGCAGTTACGTAATGAGATGAATTATCTAATGAGTGAGTTGTAATTAGCATGTACACAGAAATGAAGGAAACTATGGAATTATGTAGGAGTTCTAAAGAAATACCAGAGTTACAAAAGAGTTAGAAAAACAAACAAGCGAAAATCAAGTCAGCAGAAATTAACAAGTTTGTTAGCCTGATAGTAGGTAGAAGTGGTTCAATAATTTTCCTTTGCATGCATAACTCCGGTTTATCTAACTGAATGACTAAGGCTTCAGTAACGCAGTGTAGATATAAAAGTACACTGCCTTTGGCAGGCAGGTTATTCTTCACTTTGTAGATAGATTACTTTGAAGGAGGCTTTTCGTTGAGATGGAATGATCAGTGTTGTTGACAAGGCGTTCAGTTGCACAGCTAAAGAGGGAAATAAATTCGCCAAAAAGAGCCTCTTCGTTGAAACGCGTGTTTTGTTTTTTCATGAATGTCTGGAGAGATATTAGTCGTAAACAGTTTAACTTATGTTGAAACTTAGTCAGTCAATCGATTAGTGATTCAGTCAACAGGATCAGACACTGTCACCTGAACATTTTTGAAGGAAATTGTAATGAATAATCACCTCAAAGTGTATAATTTTCAGTTAATAAATTTCTTATGTCATGTTTGTTAATTCGATATATATATATATATATATATATATATCACATAGTGATTCCCGGCCGATAACTGCTACCTTGCCGTGGTGGTCGGGCTTGAATGCCGCAGTGACCCAACAAGCTAAACTGGCTGGGACTCATGTCCCTGCAGGTCCTACCATGCCAGGAAGGTTGTTTGGATAGCGGTTAGACTAAAAGCAGTTACCCAATCCAATCCTATGACTTCAAATAAATCACAAAATATCAGGCCAGATCGGTCGGGGCCCGGATTAACAACGACCGCGCTTCCTGCTGCCGTGTCACAGGGCAGAAGTGATAAATACGCTACTGAAACACACCAAATGAAAAACAACAAACAAAAACAGGCCGTGTGTGACCGGCCTCAAGCAGTTGTCCCCTGGGCTCTGCGGTCACGCAACCAACTTCCACGGTGTGGGCAGCCGGGAAGTAACAATCGCCCTCACAATCCAAAGTGCACGCGAAACCTCTCTAATCCTCACAGCAGCAGCAGCATAGTGATACAGTATTTTGAATAAAAAAAGCAACGAAGACATTTGAAAGATAATACTAGCTCGTTTTATTTCGTGAATTTTTTTCAATTGTGTACATCCTAAACAAAATCAAATAATAAGTTACACTATTTCCGAACTCCAACTGCATTTACTAATTCACCTGCACTTGTCGCAGCAAGTACATAGGAAGGAAGGAAGGAAAGAGAGGAAGAGTGTCCATTAGATTCTCCGAACATATCCCTAAACGTCTCCGTGTATGAGACAGACAGCAAAGTGGTCTCAACTGCAATTGCCAAGCCCTTAACTGACACGGAGACATACAGTGGAAATTAGTCAGACTTTCAAAATAATCAATACACAAAGAAAACCGTGGTTACTTCGATTCAAAGAAGCCACTGCTATCATCAAAACACTTCAACCCAACCTGTGTATGCAGAAAGATAGAGTGACTAATCTTTCACTTCTCTGGTAACCGTTATTGTTTTGTTCTCTTGCGTAACATGCGACTTAATTTTCAATGCCACTTACTGACTTGAATTCACTATTAAGTTTATAAAAAAATATACTTATAATTTTACTCGACTATTCACCCCTACTCTAATGAACTCTCCATCATAATATGTATAAGTTTACTCTGTTGTTTCATCTTGTATTCTGTATCCAGTCATTCCTTGTTTCCAAGAGAAATCTGAACTCTAACTCCTTCCCTCTATGTCTAATTATTCTATAAATAGTTACTCTTTTAACACTGAATGACCTGTCTACTTACATCATCCTTGGCCGTACTTTCCAACCTAATCCACTGTCAGCTAACATTACTCATCGAGATAGCCGGTGACTCTGCATACGTAGCACTTGCCTCTGTCATCAAATATTCTGCATCTAACTTTCATCCTACTTATCGTATTTTACCCTTACCACGGGAGACATAGCGCAAACAACATCTATGGTCAAAGAGAGCTAGTCTCTTCGCACATCATTCACTTTCAATGATCAAGTCTCACAGTTATCAAGAAGGACGCAGTACACACATGTCTTTCGATAGGTAACCAACCAGATATCACCAGGCTAGATGACATTCAGATCCTTCTTCTGAACTAATTTACTTCACTAACTACAAGTTAGCGATTCATAACACAAGTAATGACAAAGCTGGAAAAAATGAAACAATTTTACAAATAAAAATGAAATAAAAACCACCAAAATCATCGTCAATCTTACCTGGATAGAGCTTGCCAACAGAGTTGACCAACTCTGTAGAGAATCCAGCAATGATAGCTCCACCAACAGGTACCATTAAATTTTTATCTGTACTCTGTACATACAGTAGGTCAATCGATGGATTGGAATCCCCGTTATCTATAAATAAGATGAAATTTTCAAGTATTGGTTTTTTGGAGGGATTTTGTTTGTTTGATTGGTTGGAGGATTTCATCGTGAGTTCACATCGGTTAGAGAACCATTGGAAAACTGGCTGGGAGTACTGGACAACCAGCTGTTTCGTCTTAATTTGAGACTCTTCAGAGGTACGCACCCACCGCTAGGGCTGGTATCCAGGACCCTCCGGTTACAAAGCGAGCTAGCTTGTAGACCATTACGCCACTGGAACCCGATCCAATGACCAGTCGTCCAGTACTCTTTGCAGGTTTTCCAATGGTTCTCTAAATGATATCAGCTCATGATGAAATCCTCCAACCAATCAAATAAGTATTTATGCAAATCATTCATTTGGACAAGTAATACACTGGCGGACAAGACACTCAAGTGGTATGACACGTCAGGCTGTCGAAGCGAAGCCGATATGCGGAGGCCAAATAGGAAGCTGAGCTGGACGTCTAAGGGTGACTATGTCAACGAATTCAATTTTCCTATTGATTGCACACTAGTTAGTAACTAGTAAGATGTGTCTAGTCATCTATTTGGTGCAGACTGAATTCTATCAGTCAAGTTTGCAATGTGGCCAAGGTTCAAGGGTTCCTGTAGCCGATTGCCTCCAACCATCTAACATAAACAATTCAAAGTGCACCATGATGGCGAGCCACCTAACGACATGGTGGCCACATTACAAACTTGACTGACCGACAGAATTCAGTCTGCACCAAACTCCAAGGACTAGACACATTACACTAGTCACTGACTAGTGTCCAGTCAGAAATATCCAATACAGTCCTACAGGAGGTCAATCGTCAGCCTGAATAGCTTGGTGGTAACGTCTCTGACTGCGGGCAGCACTGGGTGACACGGGTTCAAATCTCAGAAGGGACATTAGTTGTTCCTCCAAGATAGTTGCAGATATGCCTTGCTGACTAGTGAGTGCCAACTAGCACGAAACCTAGGTCCAAGGCTTTTTGTGGCCGATTGCCTCCAACCAACAATTCGATTTTAGCTTTCTCACTAAGTGACACACACTCACAGAAATATTGAAAATCAAATAATACTGGAAGGCTGTTTCATCTTACTTTGAAACTAATCAGTAGTGTTTACGCACATGTGTAGCCAACACGACAGAAAGGTGAATAAATAAAGTGAAACTCATTTTTATTGGACCAAAATCCTCGATTTCGGCTCCAGACACACACAAGCACACACTTCGATGATGCTTTTTCTGCTGATGATGGTGATTAGCTAGCTAGAAAATCGAGGATGTTGATTTCGTCTTATATAAGACTCATCAGCCAGATGCATCTGCAACTACAGTGACTGATGATGTTCCCACTGAGACACGGACACAACATAATCAATCAATCCACACGGGAGACACAATATTCACCTGAACACTAATGACTAAAAGACGTAAACAGCGAAGAAAATTTTCTTTTCGATAACTCATTCTCAAAAGCCACTGTACAATAGTATTTATAACTTAAAATGAGTTTATAAAACCAATCAGGTACTAGTGAGGACCATGTTCCAGAGAACGTATTACATAATGTAAGGTATGATCTAGAAGGGGGATGACTAATTCGGGCACCTCCATATGTGTTTATCAGTTTATTTGGTCATGTGGAGCAAAGTATAAAGGTCATACATAACGTCAAGTCGTCAAACATATTCTAAAACACTTACTCTCCAGCCGAGGGCTAGTCGAACACCTCGTCAACTCTGTACATCGGGCACCTCGGCATATCTGCTTTACACTGCTATACAGAGTTCCTCGATATCTCACGAAAGAGTTTCGAATGGGTCACCTATACATAGCTGAATCATTGGGGTCTGAAATTGGACGTCTGTGAGTTCAAAAGCACTACATATATTCATTCGCCCTATTACGGTCAGAGTAACTCTCTTACTATAATTTTGCGTGAATTTAATGTGTGGGTTCATTATTATTATTATTATCACTATATTATTGTTTATTAATAATACTGTTTACTCATACTCATTTTATAAAAACACTTCGTCGTCTTTCCACTGGTTCTTCTCCACTCTACACATCTATACTGATTAGTCATTTTTCACACCTATTACTTCAACTCAACAGCTACCCAGCAAAGTTAAACTTTAAGCACCACTAACTACCAATCATCGGCGAATGACATCGAACGCACCAATCACGTGAAGGAGGCATTTTTGTGTATAGAATACATATATATATTTATGAAATAATGCATAAAAACAGAGGATACCTTCCTATCACATGTGATATGAATAGCTCTCAGTTTTAGGTTGGACTATCAACAGAGTATAATTTCATTGTGGATAAAATTCATTTGTATAAAGTCTCATAGTGTAGTACAGTAATATTTCGTGAACAACAGATTGTGCTCGCAACGTAATCAGTAAATATTGCTGTATAACATTGTGAGACTTTATCAAAATAAATGTTACCCACAATGGAATTATACTCTACCATCACAGTGCACAACTTCTATTCTTATATCAACAGAGTAATTTAATCACATTCTATGCATGTAATTATTTAGATCTTCTATCCACACCAATAATCCGAATCTTTCCTGAACCTAATCCTAACGTGAAAATATCCTTTACCTAACTGTAATCTAACTCGAACCAACGCCAATGTTGCCTTTATTAGGTTAACCTAACCCTAACACTTGTACTTGGCTTAAAGCTTAACTTAATCTTCCTAAAACCTAAGATGAAACTTGCCAGAAATCCCATTTAAAAGCGTAACACTTCAATGAGCATATTTTATTGATGATGACAACATTATTTGCTAGGTTTCACTAACTTGCTCAGTGAGTGCTTCAAGGTCACTGGTGCGGTCGCACTCCATTGGTAGTCAGTGGTGCTCAAAGTTTAACTTGGCCGCCAGCTACCCCTTTTTCTCTTATCTCCACTTAGTTATTCCCCCCCCCATAGACTACACCTTACATTATGTAATAAATTTTCTAGAACACAGTTGTTACCAGTATCTGATTGGTTTTACGTGTTCTTTGTTAAATATAAATACGATTGTACAGTGACTTTTGAAAATGAAACGTCGAAAAGGGAAAACTTTCTTCACTGTTTATGTCATCCTTTTCTTATGGCCACATTATTTTCAAGAGTCGCTTTGTGGGGATTCAATTTGTTTTTCAAGTTTGACCACGGATTGATATCAGTTAGAGAACGATTGTAAAGCTGAGGGGGGGGGAGTACTGGACAGCTAATTCTTCGCAGTTTGGGACTCATCATCAGTAGGCACCACCCACTGGGGTTCCAGTAACTAAATGAACTACGAGTTTACCTCTCGACTATATTATTGCCTGAATCTATCGATAACTGCGAATTGGATTTTCAGTGGTAGAGTCTTCACCAGTCCACGAAGGAGGTCCAGATTTGTATCCCACTCGATGGACTTGTTAACCCCACCTTGCCAATATTAAGCCTAGAAAATTGAGAGGCTTTGGAGTGTGAGAATAGAGACTTCTCAGTATAAGAGCAACAACTACAGACTAGTGAATCTTCAAAGCTCAAAGTCGGAGGCTCCATGTTCTACTCAAAAAGCAGAAGAATGACAAAAGTGTTAATAACTACGATGGTATCATTATTCATCATTCGTTATTAACGTGGGTGTTGAATTCTACAAAATGAACTAGTGTCTCTTATAAGTTCACTAATTACTGATAAGCTTTGACCTGTTGAGTAACACTGTTAACTTTATCAGTTGTGCATGAATGTATGTGTGTGCGTGTGCATGGATGTATGGGTGGGTGGGTAGGTGATTGACACTTCAAAGAACGTGATACAATTCATATTTGTCAATTTTCTTTGTGCGATTACAACTCACTGCATGTTTATCTGAATGAATCAGTCACACACACACTAGTGCGGTGAAATGAAGGTGTCTTAGATTACATGTGATGACTACACAATCAACTCAATACACATTTGATTTTCATTTGAGAAAAAACAATTCACAAAAATTGTTTGTTGTCATGATGAAATTTAATTTCTAACATACTTAAGAAATAAATGTCTAATCTCTACAATTCAATACTTGAAACATAATCTAATGCCTACTAGCGTTTGACTACAGGACGAAGTTGCCTGCAGTCATAGTACGAAGTCGTGATCAGAAAGGATCCACTAGACAAGGTGTAGGAATAAATAATCAGAGATTACATTGGCTGGCTGTCACGTTAAAATCGCGAATTGACATAATTTAGAATTCACAGGTTATTCAATATCGGTCTTAATAGTTGAATGGCCAACAAGCTTGGCCTCGTAACGCAAACGTCATGGTGTAGTCCTGGGTGCATGCTTCCGAAGAGTCCCAAACGAGGACGAAACAACTTCTCAGTGATTCCCACTGGTTTCCGATGCTTCTAAAGCTGAGAATTTTCGGCAGCAGTGGTTTTTTTACTTTTAAAGGATGAGGTTGCTAACCTCAAGCTCCCAACCTTCACTCTTTACCAGACTTATTACTGACTTAGCGAGGTAAAGGAGTGCATCTGTGGTCAGGGATCAAACCCCGGACCACATGAGGTGTGGTTGGCGAGCATTCTGCCACTGTGCCACCGACGCACATATATATATATTTTTTCGATTAATTGGCATTATGATACATTTAGATAGTTTCAGCAAATTATAGTTTGTACTTCCTGAACTAGTATGTACGTCTTTTATTCAGAAGAAACAAGCATGTGATGATCCATTGTCGTTCACCGGCATACACTTTACAACCAATTTTAAAATAAACAAACGGAGAAGGGATGCTAGATAGATAATGCGCTCTAAGATTAGGCATATACAGCCTATTTAAACTATTACTATCATCAAGATTCCTGGACAAGGACAACAACAACAACAAACAACAATCAGCATAAATGGGAGGAACCTGAAAGAAACAACCTCCTCTACCTACCTACCTAGGAAGTATTGTTTCAACTACAAGCGGAACTGATGACGATATCAAAGCAAGGATCGGAAAAGCAAGACAAGCTTTCACTACTCTCAAGTCTGTGTGGAGGTCAACAGCACTCAGCATCAAAAAATAAGACCCGGATTCTCAACTCCAATGTCGCGTCATAAAGAGCATCTCAAACAAACTACAGACCTTCATTAACAGTTGTCTTCGCTCAATACTCAATATCAGATGGCTGGCCAGAAAAGATCAGCAACAGAGACCTCTGGCAATGAGCGAACCAACCAGGAACCGATTGTGAAACAAATAGGCAGGAAGAAATGGAGATGGATTGGCTGGCCATACTCTGAGGAAACCATCAAGTGACATCCCTAGAAAAACCCTCGAGTGGAACCCGAACGAAACTATTGCCCCACAAATATCCAGAAGAAAGTGAAGATAGATTAGATACACGCTGAAGAGATAACTGAGTGAAATCACACGCCAGTCAAACCGTCGAGTGGGACCCGAATGGACGTTGATCCGAGGGTAACATAGAGAAGAGATGAGAGCCTAAGGGCAATTGTAGAGATATGCTGTTAAAGCTCTGTATTCCACTTGTAACCTAAGGCGATGTAAAGATAATAAATATACAGAAATAAAGCCTTTAAAACCAATTATCCTTTACATACCACACTACTATTATTGTGTTTGAATGAGAACACTATAAAAAAGGGACAACACACGTATAAAAAGACACACCTGACGACCACATGGTATGATAACGACTTTCAAATGATCAACTTACTTTGAGGATTAGATTTCTGATCTGTTGTAATTAATTTACCAGCTGATTCAATCATTCGCATACATCTAGGCGATTGTACACCATAAGCATTATTGATTAAGTGGGATACATTGTATTTAAGGCACAACTTTGTTACAGCATGTAATCTGTAATAGGTTATACACCAAAAAAAGAGAGAGAGAGAGAAATTATGATTAGATAACGACGATGAACTGGCATCTGTAAGTTTATCATTCAGCGCATAAAGAATAAGATTCGGATTTTCAACACAAATGTGAAGTCATCAGTCCTTCTATATGGGTCAGAAACTTGCACTGCGTGTCAGTCACGAAAAGCATTTCCAGCAGGTTTCAGACTTTTATCAACAGCTGCCACCTCCGCTGGTTCCATACTCAGGATCATATGGCCAGCCGGCCAGACAGAAAGAACTAGCGACGAGAAACTCTGGCTATCTGTCAACAAACCAACCAAGAGCCGATTGCTCAACAAATATATAGGAGAAAGTGGAGATGGATGGATTTAGCATTCTTTAAAGAGGCCATCAAATATCATCACACTCAGTGCAAGCCATCGCTCGAGGGGAATCCCAATGGAAGAAGCGACGTGTGGGTCGTCAGTGTGAGGATGACATGGAGGAGATCGTGTAGCGAGGAGGAGAAGGAGGAGGAGATGAGAGATTATGGTCAATCGTGGACCCAACTGAAGAGGACGGCAGAAAATAGAACAAAGTGGAGATGTGTTGCTGAAGCCTCATGTTCCACTCGGAACCCAAAGGAATAATAATAATTAATATTATTATGAAAACAAAAGAAACTTAGTACATTATGAGCACCAAGAGATGCGCCACACACAAAACTGTCCCAGTGTTTGTACAAGGGTTGGTATACTGCCCCGCTGAGTACCTTTCCTTTTATATGACACTGAATGGGGATTTTTATTTGCTTAAACGTTACAATGACCAAGTGTAACACTGAATGAACTGGACAGTTTCCGTCAAGTTTGCAGTAGCTCAAAGACAAAGATACATTCTCCAAGAGAGAATGTTTGGATCAATATGAATATTTCAAAGGTGTACTGGAAATAGATCAGATGCAACTACATTCACACGAATATCAGAACACTCAAGCAACACACAAACACTCACACACACACACTAGGCCACATTGTTTCTATCCAAAATCGCCTGTTCTCAAACTAGAATAAAACGTCTACTGACGAGTTCATATAGTGCACGATTTAGATGAACTATGCAAATCTTTGAAGAATATGTAACCAAGAAGTTACTCAGAAACAATGTGATAAGACCAAATCAGATCTACTTAAGAGTTTGATGGCGAATAGCAACAGGAATACTGCTGAGAAGAGCAACTATTCACCGGAAGCCTTTATTACATGACTCAATGGAAATTTCTAAGTAAATTATTATTGGTTATAGGATTTCATCATGAGCTGACATTGGTTAAAGAACCATTGGAAAACCTGGGTTCCAAGTAGAGCAAAGAGCTTCAAAGCCACATCTCCACTGCGTCCTGTTATCTGTAGTCCTCTTCAGCTCCGCACGATTACTCATAAGCTTTCACCTCTTCTCCGCATGATCTCCATTTCATCCTCAGACCAACGCAAAACTCATTGTTTCCCATTCATATCCAACTCGAGAGCTTGGCTCTCGATGTCATCCCCAACGGACCCCCTCAGTGTGTATCCAACCCCCATCCATCTCCATTTTCTTCAGGATATTTGTTGAGCAATAGGCTATTGATTGGTTCGTTCCCAGAGTTCCCATCTGATCTTCAGTATGGAGTAAAGGAGGCTGTTGGTGAAAATCTTAGAAATAGTTTTCGTGAGGCTGGCGCCAAGTTTCTGACCCATATAGAAGAAATACCTGACTTACTTAACATTGGTGTTAGAAATCCTAATTTTGTTGTTCATGGTGGGCGCAGGAGATTTGCAAACTAATTTCACAGGAATGAAGGTCTCCGCTGTCTTTCTGATTCTGATTTTGACATCCCCATCCGTACAGCCCCCTGAAGTCAAGATGATGATAGTGCCTAGATAAGTGAAGGAACTGACCTCATTTAAATATCTTCCATTGAAAGGAATGGCTGAGGAGACCTCCAGGTGAAATCACATACCAGGTGGGTCCTCAAGTGGACCCCGAATCGGAAGCAAAGAATTGTGTGTCCAACAGTGACATGGAGAAGATCATACGAAGGGGGGGGGGAAGGAGGCAGAAATCAAAGCTTAGTAGGGCAGTCATAGAGCCAGCTGAGTTAATAGCATAGAATCGAGTGGAATGTAGATGTCCCACTGACCCCCTTTGTTCCACCCAGAATGCAAGAAACGAATAATAACAATAATAATGCACAATGAGAAAAGGCTAAATATACAGGGAGTAGAGATGTAGCTCATTGGCTAAGCCATTCAACTTTCAACCTATGCATCCCTAGGTTCGAGTCCCGTTTCACCCCCAATCAAACAAGTATAATTCATCCACTGATGCACATATGAAAAAAATCTGTTCAAACAAAGTATACAAAAAACAAGTAGGTCAACGAAGAGGCCCTTTTTCCACTGGTTAACACCTTGACAGGGATTACTCATGAATTCCTTCAAGTATCAGGGTTCCCCGGTATTCTATCAAACATGCTGTAATGAGCGCGAAAATTACTCTTATTTTCTCTCAATGATTGTGTCAGTAATCACAATTATCCGAAATGATTCTTGAAGGCATCATTACATGACGCAATCACATTTATTTTTCCTTCACGTTCCCCAGTGGAACATAGGGCTTCAAGCTAGTGGCTTGAAGTTTCTGTAGCAGTGTTTATTTTACATGATGGGGTTGCTAGCCTCATGCCCAACCTTTCCCCTTTACCAGCATTATTTCTGGCTCAACGAGGTAAAGGAGTGTGCCAGCCGGGGATCGAACCCCGGACCACATGCATGGGCGGCGAGCGTCCTAACCGCTATACCACCGATGCACTAACGCAATCACATACAAGAAGGAATTCGCTGAAAGAACGTCATCTTTGAAGCATGTGGATGACAACTATTCATGAAAACATAAACATAAACCAACAGATAGATAGATAGATAGGTAGATAGACGTACTTATCTGGCGCTCTTGGTGAGAAACAATTTGTTGTCGTCAGAATACAAACAATATCACTGGAATTTGAAGTATCAACCATAGTAGAAGTTATATTATACGCTTGTGCAACTTTAGGCCAATTATCATATAAATATTTTGCCGGATTATTTAATGCTAATTCAATAGCATTGAGATTTGTACATAATTGATCACTGTTAGGATCTTTGATTAATTCAATTGGGACTGGTATTAAATCTTGATGGAAAAAGGAAAACGGGAGAGAGAGAAAATAAGACAAATAAGAAAAAGTATATAATGGAATTTATAGAATAAAGTTGATGCCTTAAGTGAACTGTTACGTAATACTTTTTATTCCAGTATTGGTTTGTAGGGATTTGATTGATTGGTTACAAGATTTCATCATGAGCTGACATTGGTTAGAGAACCACTGGAAAACCTACATGGAGTACTGAACAGCTGTTCATATCACCGTAGTTTGTGACTCTTCATCAGTACGCATCCATAGCCAGGGTTCGAACTCAGGACCTTCTGGTTAAAACGTGAGCTCGTAGACCATTAGGCCACTGGGACCCGACCACTGCCCAGCCAACCCGTGAATTCCAACTTCTGCCAATTCACGACATAGCGCGAACGCTACCCACTGTCATCAGTGGCGAGTATTTGTCCTCCAACCCGACCTGTTGCACCCTACTGGTCACGACTTCCCAGGTAACTACCTACCTGAATTAGGCAAGTCGCTAGTGAGCATCTCCTTGGTATTCAAGTATTCCTTTGAAGTCAAGTTTATCAGCCTTACATGGACTGACTGCTAACACAAAAGATTCGTGTGGTATTTGCCATCTTACGTCATCTTTAGTGTAAACAAACATCATACACCGTTATCGATCAAATGACGTGAGTCTTCGAACAACCATGTTTGCCCCTTATATATATCCCGTGTTATGTGGTATCATAGTCGGTTTTCGACATAGAACTTTGCACATATGTGTGGCAGTTCAAGTCGCCACACTCCACTCCTTGTGGCACACAAAGCAAGAGAAGAAAGTAGAAGAAATGCAAAATAGAGACAGTAAACAGAGGTGTGAGACAAAGGAATAGTAATAACGGAGAACAAAACAGTTTCATTGGAAATCATAAGTCACAAGGAGTGGATGCATCTGCACCAGCCACTCAGAACGATTTTGAGCCATGTCACCAATTGTTTCCAACCATTGGTTTTTACCGTCCCGAGGACCCCAACCAGGAAGTCTACATCTTCCTACGTGGCTTAAACTAACTGTTGTAGATTTCATTGACTGGTGCCATGTTTTGGTTTGACCGCCACTAGCTCTTTTCCAGCCTGGCCCTATATCAGCTAACATTGGCGATTGTCAAGGAAGGCGATGACTAGGCGTACGTTACACATGTCGTAACCATCTTAGTCAATGTAATTTCAGTCTCATGGACTGATTTCCCCGCCTTACCTAGCACTCGACGCCTAACCTCGATATTGCTCACCTTATTATACCACTTCACGCGGGAGATAGAACGCAGACACCTATGATCGAAGACAGCTAATCTTTTCATGTCTTCTGCTCTCAATGGCCAGGTCTCACAGCCATAAAGGAGGACGGAGCGGACTGTTGAGCAGCCCTTTGGTCGATAGTCGGATATCACGTCCACGCCAGAGACGGCGAAAACTGGCGTATGCGAACCTAGCCCTCTGTATTCGTGCTGAAATTTCGTCTGAGATCAACCCGTTGGGGCTGATGGTACTTCCCAAGTAATTGAAGCGGTCAACGTGTTCTACCACTTCACTTCCTATTTCTAATCTAGGGGTCGATGAAGTCCAATCCTGCAGCATCATCTTGCATTTTACAGGGGCGAATCGCATGCCAAACATTCTTAGATTGCAGCTCAAGGTGTTCAGTAGACTCTGCATTTTGTTAGAGTCCTCGCCTAGAAGGACTATATCGTCCGCATATTCTAAGTCAACGAGATTATTCCCTGGTAGCAAGTCAATCCCTGAGTCGCTGAAGTGTGTTAGGGTTAAGTCCATTAGTACGTCTATGATGAAGTTGAATAGGAATGGGGATAATGGGCATCCTTGACGGACGCCACTAGTCGTCACCACTTCAGATGACAACTCACCATAAGCCCTCACCTGGTTGCATGAGTACGAGTAGAGTGCCTTAATCAGTGCAATGTATTTTCTCCGCATTCCCTTTACAGCCAAGCATCGCCAGAGAACCTCCCGGTCGACAGAATCGAATTCCGCCTTTAGGTCAAGAAATATTATGATTGTCGGACGCCGGTAGGAATGCCTATGTTCTAGAATCTGTCGAAGGGTGAAGATATGATCAATACACCCTCTACCTGGCCTAAAACCTGCCTGGTTTTCTCGTGTTTGTGTCTCCCGAGCACCACTTAGTCTACGCAGTATTATTGAGCCTAGGATTTTAGATACTATATTAGTCAAGCTAATCCCTCTGTGATTATCACAAGAAGACTTGTCTCCCTTCTTGTATATCGGGATGATCAGTGACTTACACCAACCCGATGGGACTTCCTCTGATTCCCAGACGCTGCCTAGAACCTCCGTTAACGCAGAGGGTGAGCAGTGGTCAAACAAAACAAAATGGAATCACCTTACAAAGTCTTTTGTTGGTTGTTTGTTGGTTTAAGCCACACACACATAGGAAGGTGTAGTCTGCCTGGATGTTAAGAATCAATGGTTGGAGACTATTGGTGATATTGTAGTGGTGTGAAACAGACAATGGTTTCCAACAGAATATTATTCTCACATATTCCCACAGTTCAATACTGCATTAGCAACAGAATACTATAAGTGTATTTTAACATTCTATTTCATGTTGTTTAGTGTAAACCAAAATCACACGCTCGGTGATTGGTTAAAGAATATAAACTGCATAGATATGTAAGTAGCTGTTTGGTCACTTGAAAATATACCTTGGCTTCCATGTAGTATGTGTGCGTGCTACTGATAACATCTATTAGTAGCATATGTATATAAAGAGATGTTCATCGGCGTAAAACAACATCAAATACCAGGGAGATAGATTTGAAAGTCAGAGAAAGCAAATGATACAGCGTTACGCGAAGATACATGGAAGACGTGAAAGGAACACAAAGAAAGACAATATGAAGGAAGGTGAGAAGTAGCACAACACACGGAAGATGATCTGTGCCAATGTTGCGTGCGTTGAAGATACGGTGTACATAATTTGGCTATATCGATATACCAAATTGCATATAAACATTCCTTTACCAAGTATTCGTCTTCTACCGTTACAGCAATTATAATAATTATTATATCATTATTGTTGTTCCCTTGGGTTCCTAGTGGAACACAGGGCTTCAACTACACGTCTTTACTTGCTTCTGTCTTCTGCTGTACTTTTCACCTTCATCCATGTTAATCCATACTGTTTCAATTCCTCTTCACACGATCTCCTCCATGTCACCCTTGGACATCCCACTCGCCGCTTACCTTTCGGGTTAAACTCGAGCATTGGCCTGACGCGCGATGTCACCCAGTGGCCTGCTCAGCGAGTGTCCAATCCATCTCCACTTCCTCCTGCATATTTGTTGGGCGATTGGTTCCTGTTTTGTTTGTTCCCATAGTTTCTTGTTCGTGATTCTTTCCGGCGGCCATCTGATCTTCAGTATAGAGCGAAGACAGTTGTTGATAAAGGTCTGCAACCTGTTGGAAATATTCTTTGTGACCCGCCAAGTTTCTGATCCGTATAGAAGAACTGACTCGACGTTTGTATTGAAAATTCGAATTTTGTTGTTGATGCAGGCTGAGTGACGAAGATTTCCAGATTGGTTTCAGGTTGATGAATGTGTTTCTCGCTTTTCCGATTCTCGATTTGACATCTTCGTCTGTTCCTCCTGTAGTTGAGACAATGCTCCCTAGATAAGTGAATGAAGTAACCTCTTGCAAATCCCTCCCATTGATGGTGATTGGCGCTGGATGTTGCTGCTGCTGCTGTTGTTGCTATTGTTGGTTGGTTATTTTCATAACCTCTGTCTTGTCTATGTTCACCTGGAGTCCTGTCTTTGCTGCTTCTTCGACCAGTTTGTTGGTTTTCGCTGGTAAGTCTTCGATCTTGTGTGACATTAAACATAAATCATCCACACGCGAAATCCAGGTCTTCTACGTTCTTTACATCGGTCCAGGATATCCCTGTCTTCTCGTTTCCCAATGTCTGACGCATAATACAGTCCACCACAATTAGGAATATCATTGGTGATAATAAGCACCCTTCTCTGACTCCTGTGTTTACTCCAAACGCCTCGCTGAGTTTTCCGTTGTGGATCACTTGACATGTGCCGTTATCGTACAGCTGTTGAATAAGGTTGATGAATATTTGGGGTACGCCGTAGTACTCGAGTAGTTTCCAAATTACTTCGCGATCAACGCTGTCGAAGGCCTTCTCAAAGTCTATAAAGTTGAGGTAGAGGTTTGATTGCCACAATAATAATAATAGGTGCTAACTTTATTCCCAACTTACCTGCAGCAAGCATACATTTAAAACACGACTTTTGATCAATACGTGACCATAGGACAAATTTAGCTCCTGGTGGACGACGTCTTTTCATCGCCAGTAGACACAATGTCAATGACATACCAGTAGCCATAGGAACAAGAAAGCATTGAGAGGTACTCGGTGAGCCTGTATATTGTCACGAAAGAATAGAAATGAAAAACATTTTTAAAAAAACACAAATTTACAGGAGAAAAAGTAAAAAAATTATCGAATAATTATTGAATAAAAAAATTATTCATGTTTCGATTTTGAATTTATAGTGATTTTATTAAGCTTTATCTGGAACTCATCAAGAAACGAACGGGTCCTGATTTCGAACACCCCACCCGCACCCCTGCTTCAGCCTGAAGGTAAGTGGGTAGAATCACCAGTCTTCGTACACAATAGACTGGTACATGAAAAATTCTGTTCTCAGTTCAAAAACCATCAGAATGATAGTTTCTTATAAAGTTATCAATGGTAGTGAGCTGGAGAGGCTAAATGTGTTTTGACCATAGATTTCTGTGTTCTATCTCCTCTATGTCATCCTCACAATGACGACCCACACATCGCTTCCCAACGGGATTCCACTCGAGCAATGGCTGGCACTGAGCGCGATGTCACTCGATGGCCTCTTCAACGTATGCCCAATCGATCCCTCTCCACTTTTTCCTACAAATCTGTTGAACAATTGGCTCTTGGTTGGTTTGTTGCCAGACAGTCAGAGTTTCTTCTTGTTAATTCCTTCTGGCCAACCGGTTGGTCATTTGACCTTCAGTATGGATCCAGCAAAAGTGTCAACTGTTGGCAAAAGTTTGTAACTTGTTGGAAATGCTTTTTGTGACTGACACACAGTGCAAGTTTCTGACATGAGTTGTTCCTTCAAGGTAGTTGCAGATACGCGTCTTGTTGACTGGTGAGTGTCAACAAGCACGAAACCAAGGTCAAGCAACGATTTCCTGTTGTCGAATGCCTTCAACCATCTAATACCAACAAAAATTCTGAATGCACCCTGATGGAAAGCCAGCTAGTGACATGCTGGTCACATTACAAACTTGAACTGACTGATAGAATTCAGTATTGCATGAAAACACAACGCATTAAACGCATGACACTAGTAGTTAGTGCCCAATCAAAGTACAAAGAATCTATTGAAAAAAAAACACATGCAACCGAAGTGTATTATATTATTATTATTGTTTCCTTTAATTCCTACAGGAACATAGGGCTTCAGCCGTGCGTCTCCATTGCGTTCGATTCTCTGCTAGAGTCTTCACCTGGCTCCAAGTCTGTCCACACACTTTCATCTCCTCTTCACATGACCTCCTCCAAGTCACCCTTGCATTGACGACCAACTCGCCGCTTCCCTTTCGGGTTCCACTCGAGCAATGGCTTGTCTAGTGGTATCACTTGATGGTTTCCTCAGAGTATGGCCAATACACCTCCATTTCTTCCTGCTTATTTGTCTCACAATTGGTTCCTGGTTGGTTCGCTCCCAGAGATCTCTGTTGGTGATCTTTTCTGGCCATCTGATCGAAGTGTGAGCATACACGCACACACTCAGACCATATATATATCGAAATATTTGTTGATGAAATGATAACTTCATAATTTTCGCGTTAAAATCACATTGAATGGAAATTAGAACTCACCAGAGAAAAAGACAAAAAGACAACAAAAAGAAAGATACAGACTGTCTACTGAATAGTCAGTCAGTCAGTCGGTCGGTCGTGATTTAACAACCCTTTGTCGCTCGCTGTCTCACTCTCTCTCTCTATTATATCATAACAATGAGGTGATAATGAACAATGACACTACATTGTAATGCATCATTTGTCTTATTTTCCTTCTTTTATTTCAACAGACAGAAAGTTAACCTCGAGAACTCTGATAGACTATAATTCTCTGTGTAAAATGTTGAACACAGTAAGAAGAATGAAGACAATTTTGTTGAGTATGCTGATGATCCTCCATCTATTTCTCTGTCTATGCTAGTTTAATTCTCAGTCAGACTGTTTCAAAATGAATTATTTTTTATCAGAAATTAACCACAGCGGTTGCTTATCGAATGGTCTTCAGCTTAATCCCTCTCCATATGTCAGCCAGGTTGCTAATTTCACTTTCAGACGGTTCCACTATCACATAGATGCTACAGAACGTTAAATACCTTGGATTTCGCCTTTCAACTTGATCTTTCCTGGTCTTCTCACACATCGCGTTAGTTTCCAGAAGGATATTTCGTTTAACGTTCTACATAAGGCAGCTAAAACAGTTTGGTATCATTCCGTCTCTACTGTTAGCGTTTGTTAATTCTTGTATTCTGCTTATTCTTCTTTATTACCCCCACCCACCCACGCAACCTTAATACTTCCTGGGTTACTTAAGAAAGACTTTGTTTGTTCCAATAGGCTCTCATTTCCTTCTTAATCGACCTTGAAGTGACACGCGCGCCTAGTCTCTGAACCATTGAGAAGCACTGATTTTACATTAGTATCGAAAATCTGAATGTTGTTCTATATTCTGAGTGTAGAATACTTCCACCCCGATGATTTCAGATTATTGAAAGTTTGTCTTGCTTCTCCGATACTGACATCTTCATCCGTGCTGCTTAGATAAATGAAACAGGTGACTCTGTGTATAGTGTTGATGGTGACTGATGCTTGCTGTTGTTAGTTAGATATCCTCATCATCCTTCTGTCTTCTCTATGTCCATTTGAATTCCTGTATTCGCGGTCTGCTTCTTCTGCTGCCAGCTTGTTGGTTTTCGACTACAGATCTTCAAGTTCGTGTGAGATTATACATAAAATCATCTGTGAAATACAAGTTCTTTTGTCAACCCAAAGTATCCATCTCTTCTCGTTTCCTCCACGGTCTGCCTCATGGTCCATCCAGTCCACCACAATCTGGAATATCACCAGTGATAGTAGACAGACAGCCTTGTCTTACTCCTGACTTCATTTCAAAGGCTTCATTGAGTTTTCCGTTGTGAAAAACTTGACATCACTTGGCATCATCATACAACTGTTGAATGAGGTTGATAAACGTCTATGATACTTCATACAGCTGAAGTAGTTTCTAAAAATATTGCATCACCTATTATATTAATATTATTATTGTTCCCTTGGGTTCCTAGTGGAACATAGGGCTTCAACTACACGTCTCCACTTGCTTCTGTCTTCTGCTGTACTTTTCACCTGCATCCATGTTAATCCATACTGTTTCAATTCCTCTTCACACGATCTCCTCCATGTCACCCTTGGACATCCCACTCGCCGCTTACCTTTCGGGTTACACTCGAGCATTGGCCTGACGCGCGATGTCACCCAGCGGCCTCCTCAGCGAGTGTCCAATCCATCTCCACTTTCTCCTGCATATTTGTTGGGCGATTGGTTCCTGTTTTGTTTGTTCCCATAGTTTCTTGTTCGTGATTCTTTCCGGCGGCCATCTGATCTTCAGTATAGAGCGAAGACAGTTGTTGATAAAGGTCTGCAACCTGTTGGAAATATTCTTTGTGACCCGCCAAGTTTCTGATCCGTATAGAAGAACTGACTTGACGTTTGTATTGAAAATTCGAATTTTGTTGTTGATGCAGGCTGAGTGACGAAGATTTCCAGATTGGTTTCAGGTTGATGAATGTGTTTCTCGCCTTTCCGATTCTCGATTTGACATCTTCGTCTGTTCCTCCTGTAGTTGAGACAATGCTCCCTAGATAAGTGAATGAAGTAACCTCTTTCAAATCCCTCCCATTGATGGTGATTGGCGCTGGATGTTGCTGCTGCTGCTGTTGTTGTTGTTGGTTGGTTATTTTCATAACCTCTGTCTTGTCTATGTTCACCTGGAGTCCTGTCTTTGCTGCTTCTTCGACCAGTTTGTTGGTTTTCGCTGGTAAGTCTTCGATCTTGTGTGACATTAAACATAAATCATCCACGCGCGAAATCCAGGTCTTCTACGTTCTTTACATCGGTCCAGGATATCCCTGTCTTCTCGTTTCCCACTGAAATAGTTTCTAAAATGTTGCATCACCTAACTTAATCAATCAAACGAAGGTATATCTGTAATTGAAAACTGTCAGTTCTCTTTTCATATGTCCTACTTTCAGCGACTACATCTCAGAGCTATAGTGTAGGACAAAACGAATCGGCGTACAGAACGCATGTCTTTATATAGGTAACCCAAAGACACACTAACAAACGTGTTTATTTTCGTATCTATGCCTGCACCTCATCATCAGCAACCAACCCACTAATCAGGACTAGGGAAACTCCAAAATGACAAAAAGAAAAAAAGAAAGACAAAATTCAAGTTTAAATTATGCAATATCCAAACTTACCCGATTTTCTTAGCCAATCAAGTAGCAACTGATTTGTCAGCCGACAAATTAAGCTTGAACCAGGTGCTTTAGGCTGAATTGCTGTCACATCTCCTGATCGACCAATACCATGTGTAAATCTAGAAAGAACAGACATATGCATCAGTTCAAATATAAAGAAAATAATAATACTAATAATAATAATAATACATCATAATACTGAAGTTAATGGAAGCCAAATGCTGGAGTAAAAGCTACCTTTAATTTACTTAGCTTGAGTAAGAGGGAAAAAGGGTACTCAGTTTACGCAAGATGTGTGTATTTACTAATGTTTCCAAAAGACAAAAATGTCGAACAAACTGTGGACTGCCTGACTGGTTTCAACGTAGAACTTTGCACAGATGTGCAGCAGTTCAAGTTGACCCTCTCCCTTCATGTAGCACACAAAGCAAGAGAAGAGAGTAAAGACAGATTCAAAAGAGAGACAGATAATAAACACAAATATGAGGCAAAAATAATAGCGATGTGGAAGAACAATAGAATTTTATTGGATATGATTGACAAATGACAAATGGCGAATGCATCTGCACCAGCTACTGACAACGATTTTCAGCCATATCATCAATTGTTTCCAGCCATTGGTTTTTACCATCCCGAGGATCTCCTTAGGTGACTTGCTGGCTCAAACTAAATGTTGCGGATTTCACTGACTGATGAAGCCATGTTTTGGTTTGACCACCACTATCTCTCTTTTTTCCAACCTAGTCCATCCTATGTCAGCTAACACTGCCCATCAAGGAAGGCGATCGATGACTAGGCTAGGCATGCGTAACACATGTCCTAACCATCTCACTCAATCGGTATAAATTCACAACCTCGTCGATTGATTTCTCCCCCTTACCTACCACTCGACTGATGCCTCAACTTAATATACCACTTCACACAGGAGATAGAACACAGATTCCTATGATCAAAGACAGCTAGCCGGCCTTTTCATGTCTTCCACTTTCAATGGACCTGCCTGACAGCCATCCATAAAGGAGGACAGAGCGGACTGCTGTTGAGCAGTACACACGTCTTTTGGTCGACAGCCAGTCGAATATCACGTAAACCAAGCCAGAGACGATGTAAACCGGTTAGCTGTCTTTACCATAGCTGTTTGCGTTCTATCCCACGTGTTAAGCGGTGTAATATGGTGAGAAATCTTGAGGTTAGGCGTAAAGTGTGTTAGGTAAGGAGGAGAAGTCAATTGATGAGGTTGTAAAGGTGAATCAACTGAGATTGCTCATATTAAGCCATCGCGTCTTTCGACGCGCTATGTTAACCGATATAGGATAAGATTGGGAAAGAGTTAGAGGTGTTCACAAAACAAAGCCTGACATCAGTCCGTGAAGTCTCTGACAGTTGGTTTGATCCATGTGGGGAAGTGAAGGCTGTGTGGTTGGAGTCCTTGGAATGCTAAGAACCAGCGGTTGGACGGTCTGATATAATACAGAGATGGCCTGGGCTGCCAAAATACTCTCTCGTTATATTGCATATAATTTCTCTTGTTCGGTTTGCATTAATCTATTAATAGTGTTTATAATATCTACTACCTGCTACTCTGGAGGTTTCTATTGACCTTAGGGAAAAACATAATTGTGGATGGCAGCGTATCCCAATACATGAGATGTCTGTTTCTGAGACTTGTAGCAAAATCTGCCACTGTCGACGAAATAAAACTAACTACTTGAAATCTTCAATTATTCAGTTATATCATTAGGTATTAAATTGTACTCCTGCCCTTATTTTAATTGATTATCAATGAAATGCCGGGCATTTCTCTAAGGTCACAAAGAAGAAATACCATAAGGGATTAGGGATGGGTCAGGTTGGAAAAGAGCCAGCGGTGGTAAAACGAAAACACGGCTTCATCAGTCAATGAAATCCACAACAGTCAGTGTAAGCCAAGTAGGAAGATGTGGACTTCCTGACTGGTTGGGGTCCTCGGGACGGTAAACACCAATGAAGACTAAAAACAATTGGTGGAATTGCTGGCTCAAAATCGTTCACAATGAATAGCGCAGATGCATCCACTTATAATTATCCAATAAAGCTGTATTGCCCTTCCCCAACACTATTTCTTTTACCTCATATCTCTGTTTTGCATCTCTTTTCACTTTCTTCTCTTGCTTTGTGTGCTATATAAAGGGAGAGTGGTGACTCGAACTGCCGCACATCTGTTCAACGTTCTACGTCGAAACCAGTCAGTCCCTTTCAATGAGAATGTCTCCCAATCATAGAGTAGGACAAAGTGAACTGCTGCGCAGTACACACGTCCTTTGATAGATGATAACCGGATATCACATCTATGCCAGAGATGACATATGATAATTTCCAAGGATCCAGTGAAGTTGAAGGTGTAATAGACAAGTTCACAAAGCAAACAAAGGCGAGTTTTTTTCTTTCAAATAACTTTTCATATTGATTGACTGACTCTTTGAGCTTTCAACAAAGAAGTTTGTACAGATATACAAGCAACAGATGCTCAAATTGGTTACAGAATTTCATCATGAGCTGACATCAGTTAGAGAACCACTGGAAAACCATTGGAACCATTGGAAAACCGGACAACTGTTTCGTCCTAGTTTGGGACTCTTCATCAGTACGCACCCACCAGCAGGGTTCGAACCCATGACCTGCTGGTTACAAGGCTAGCGAGCCCGTGGACCATTAAGCCACTGGGACACAGTCTAATGGCCAGTCCATGAATTCTAACTTCTGCCAATTCACGATATAGCGCAACCGCTAGCCAATGTTTTCGGCGAGTATTTGTCCTCACACCCAACCTGCTGCACCCTACTGGTCACGCCTTTCCACTAGAACCCCAGGTAACTACCTACCTGAATAGGACTAGTCGCCAGTGAGCATTTCATTGATATTCAAGTATTAGTTTGTAGGGATTTGGTTGATTGTTTACAGGATTTCATCATGATTTGACATTGATTAGAGAACCATCGGAAAACCTGGGAGTACTGGAGAACTGTTTCGTCCTACTTTAGGACTCTTCATCAGTTTTTCCAATGATTCTCTAACGAATGTCAGCTCATGATGAAATCCTGTAACCAATCAACCAAATCCCTACAAACCAATACTTGAAGATGCTCAAATTGCTATACAGAAATAAAGGAAAATATTCAAAAGAACTAAACTTAGCCGAAATGTACAGGAGGTAGAGTACTAACACAGAGAAACATGAGGATTAATTGGATCTGGGGGACTACAGGAAACGAATACATCTCCACAACTGAGAATAATTTTCAACCATATCACCAATAGTCACCAATAGCCATTGTTTCTTAGCATCTACACCTCCTTACATGGCTGGCTTAAATCAAAAGGTATACATTACATCGATTTGGTGCCAGGTTTTGATTTAACCACACCCAGTTTTTATACCTTTTTATACCTTTGTCTGTAAAGTATCACACAGCAGATAATACTTTAAGCGCAAGTGACAGTAAACTAATACTTTCAATATTTTTATCTGCATATACAATGTGAGTCGTGTATTTATAAAAATGAATATTATAGTACAACACTTCTATAGTTATGCAACATTTATTCTTGTTTATATTTGTGAAAGCATCAATCTGACACCAGTTTGGAAATCTTCCGTGGACTACGGACATGATATCGACGCTGTCAAGTCATTCACTGTTATTGTCAGCAGACAAAGAAGCAGGAAGATGCTTGAAATTGCAAGGAGGCTTGTGCAATTCGAGTTTATAAACCAGGTCTCTGTGTACAAAAGGAGATGGTCGTCACTCTGAATCTACCATGGTAATACGTTTTACTTATTATTCTACCTCTTATTATCATTCTTGATTCATTTAAAACTATCCTTTATCAGTAGCATTATCTTAACTCACTTCAACACTATTATTATTGTTATTATAACTATTACTATTGATATTACTCTGGTTGCAATTCTTGTTATATTCTCTAATGACTAATTGTTTATCTAAGTGATGTAATTGAAGCGAAATGCAATTTATCTTAATTTTAATCTCTCATACTCCCTCTCCCCCACTTATCTATTTGAACATGACCTGGAAAACATTCGTACCTGTTTTTCTGCATGACTAATTCAATGTAGTTTATTTACTTAACAGTCATATAAATATCTCCAAATGTAATTTCAAAAGTATATATATCCGTGTATGTAGAGTATTCAGCTGACGAGTTCTACCGAAATTTGATGAATTCATTAAATCCTGCTTTATTAACCCTTATTACTTGTTTTAAATGTGAGGTCGGTTCTTCTACACGGGTCAGAAAGTTGCACTGCGTGTCACGAAAAGCATTTGCAGACTTTTATAAACAGCTTCCACCTTCGCTGGCTCCATACTGAAGATCAAATGGCCAGCTGGCCGCCGGCAAGAAACAATTACCAACAAGAAACTCTGCGGTGGAACAAACCAACAAGCGAGAACCATTCGCTCAACAAATATGCAGAAGAAAGTGGAGATGGATAGATCGGGCATACATTGAGGAGGCCGCCAAATGACATTACACGCCAGGTCAGTGCTCGAGTGGAATCCCAGTGGGAAGCGACGAGTGGGTCGTCAGTGCGAGGGTAACATGGAGGAGATTGTGTGAGGAAGACATGAGAGAGTTTGGTCAATCGTAGACCCAGCTGAAGACGACAGCAGAAAACAGAACCAAGTGGAGATCTGTTGTTGAAGCCAGCCCTATGTTCCACTCGGAACGCAAGGGAATAACAATAATAATAATAATTGTGTATGAATCGTGTCACTTTTTTTAAAAAATCAGTCTCCCTTTATTCCTTCAAAAACAGCTGAGAATAACTGGTCTTAATCATGTATCACGTAACACTTCAGAACTAAAAGTACTTTATGGTATTTTGCTTAGTTAAGTACAGGAGTTTGTCTGCTCTAGATTGCTGCGTTACCAAACGCGTAAAATTGTACTAATGGGTTCCCTACCTAGTGATATATGATGATGATGACAGATGTCAAGGACTGACTTACCCATAATGACGTCGACGAATAAAATCGACAAGTACTCGCCCTTCACGCTCACCAACACCTACCGAATTATCCCAATTATTTGAATCCAAAGATGATATTTGTAAAAATAATGCCTCAATATCAGTTTCAGAAAATCCAATTTCTGGAAGTCGTCCCTGAATTAGATGAGAGAAAATTTTAAAAAAAGAAGAGAAAAACACTTACAATGACACTAACGAACAATTAAAACAATAACCCGCTGTGCAAGAAATTTACTTGAAAGTTAACCATGACGGAATGTCACAATGATACTACATGCCAAGTAATTCACAACGAAAAGTTCGGTGAAGTACTTGAAGTGAAGACAAGACTGTGTTTACCCTTATCGATAGTCTTCCTGGCGATCACAGACTGGATCATTTGACAGACCCGTGCAGAGCGGGCAGACGGAAAGACGTTGAATCGAAAGAAACACCTGGATAACCTGGACTTCATCGATGATTTATGTCTCGTGTCTCACAAAGTAAAAGATATACACGCGAAAACCAACCAATTGGTAGAAAAGGCAACAAAGACAGGAGACTCCATGCATTTATTCCCCTTGGTGAATTTGAATAAAGCAAGAACAACAGTGGTGGTTTGTGCAGAATAATAATGGTACCATCATTGTTTATTTCGTTGGCTTCTCATCAGCTCAACTGCTTACAGCCTAAATAAATTATGAGGTTTATGCACAGAAAAGTTTTAACATACTTGCAAATTTTTTAATGATGTCAGTTGACAGAAGGTTCCGCAATTAGTGAACAGTGCTCAGAAAATTGACACTTAAATAGTTTTTACACAGGCAGTTCAAGTTTAAACAAAATAAATGTATGCATACAATGAATGGTAAAGGAGTTACGTAATAAAGACGAGAGAGATGCGTAAGATGCTGAGTGACTAATAAATTAGGTAACAATGTACTAAGTTCAACTCAAATCATAGAAACAAGCAAAATTACACTGTGTAAAAACTATATAAGTGTAATTTTCTGAGCACTGTTCACTAATTGCGGAACCTTCTGTCAACTGACATCATGAAAAATTTGCAAGTATGTTAAACCTCATAATTTATTTAGGCTGTAAGCAGTTGAGCTGATGAGAAGCCAACGAAATAAACACAGGATGGTACCATATTATTCTGCACAAACCACACTGTTGTTCTTGCTTTATTCAAAGACAGGACTTCAGGTGAGCATAAAGAAGACAGGGTTGATGCAGATATCTAGCACTAACCACCATCAACGGGAGAACGAAATCACCCCCCCTTACAATTACCTCACCTAGGCAGGCAGCATCGTTTCAACTACAGGAGGCGCAGGCGATGATTCCAAAGCCAGACAGGATCGAAAATGCGAGACAATCCTTCATTAAATATGAAATCAGTCTGGAAATCTGCCAAACCTTCGGATTTTCAACACTAATATCAAGTCAGAGGTTTTAAATCATTTCAGACATGATAAGTATTTACAACAAGCTATTGCCGCCCTAGCTCCCTACGGAAGATCAGATGATCAGAAATAAGACAAGCAGTACTCTGGTAACCAAGCAAGCAAGAACCTATTGCCAAACAAATATACAGAAGAAACTGGAGATAGATTAGACATGAATAGTACCCATCTGAACATCATTCAAAACAAAACACGTAGTTGTTCAGCGAAGAGTCTCTTTTCGGCGGCGAATTCATTCGCTTAGCTATGTAATCACAATTATCTATGCTTATTTTTGCATATGTGTGCATTAGGTTTGTCCGATAAGCATAAAAATCAGTTAGGGTTATTGTTGTCAAGACATTTCAAAAATGTGATGAAAAGTCAAATTGTAACTAGGGCGTGGGGGTGAAGATTGGTAAGAGGGTAGTGGTGATGCGTTGTCAAAAAACAAACATAGTTATTAATGTCAATCAACACATGGAAGAAGTTGAATAAACGTAATGCAGTTACGTAATCAGATGAATAGTTTAATGAGTGAGTTGTGATTGGGATGCATCGCTCAATAAACTATCCATCTTATTGCGTAACTGTGCTGCGCTTATTTAGCTTCTTTTATGTGTTAATAAATATGTTTTTTGACAACACATCACCAATACCCTCTTAGCAATCTTCACCCCCACGCCCTAGTTACAGTTTGATTACTCATCACATCTTTTGAAATGTCTTTTAATTCTTATCGAACAAGCCTAATGTACACAGACAGACAAAAGCAAGTATACATAATTGCGATTGTACAGCTAAGCGAATGAATTCGCCGCCGAAAAGAGACTCTTCGCTGAACTACACGTTTTGTTTTCATAAAATAGACATACGCTGAAGAGATTGTTGAATGGAATCACACGGCAGCAGGGTGTCGAATGCAACCGAAATGCGAGACGACAAGTTAGGCATGTGTCCAAGAGTAACATGGAAGATATCGTATGAGGGAAGGGATGAAAGCTTGTGGGCAATTGTGGAGCCAACTATAAAAGACTGCAGAGAACGGGATAAAGTGATGTGCTGTTGAAGCCCTATGTTCCACTCAGAACCCAAAAGACGAATAATACTAATATACACAAATTTCTAGACATTATGCATCAACATTTACAAGATGCCCAATTGAAGGAAAGTTGTATACACGTTGAATATTTAATAATCGAAATGAAACAATCGTAGTACTCATTTTTGGAAGTAAAAAAAACAGGAGTAATTGTCTTACTTGTTCTAACACAGCCATAAGTTTCTTCTTTTTCTTAGTAGATCTTTCTTGCCATCTTTTGACATATGAATCTCCAATGTATGTTTTGAATAGTGTCAAAATATTATCATCCATTAGTATATCACAATTTAGAGGAGTGTAGGCCTTTTTACCACACTTTCAGTGTTCTTAACAGTGAGGCAATAGTGAATTTCTTCTATGCCAGTGTCATTCTAAACGACAGAGGGAGAGTAAAACATCTGAAAACAAAACACATCAACAATTTTAAAAACACCTAAGAAAAAAAGGACAAGTTAAGACAACATAATCCTTAATATTTAAGATTAAAAAGAAGGCTGTGGCTGAGTATGTCGATCATTTCATTTATTTAAGATTGAGTCCACCGTAACAGACTGATTGCTGACGAAATCTCAGTAAAGATACAAAAAGCTCCTGTGAGATTTGCCAATTTACATTACCTCTAGGGGATGCACGTGACATCCGGTTATCGATAAAAAAGACGTGTGTACCACGCAGCATTCCGCTATGTTCTTTTATCTGTCAGTTGAGACATGATGGAATTAACCCTAACTCACTTCACAGACTCATGGATTGACCTGTTACCAGGGAGGGAATAATCTCGTTGACTTCGAATATGCAGATGATATAGTCCTGCTTCTAGGTGAAGACGCTGACAAAATGCAGATCTTCTGAACACCTTGAGCTGCAATCTGCGAATGTTTGGCATGCGATTCGCTCCCGCCAAATGTAAGATGATGTTACAGGACTGGACTACATTGACTCCTAGCTTAGAAATAGGCAGTGAAGTGGTAGAGCACGTTGACCACTTCACTTATTTGGGAAGTTGCATCAGCCAGCGCCAACGGGTTGATCTCTGACGAAATCTCAGCACGGATACAGAAGGCTAGTTTTGCATATACCAGTTTACGCCGTCTCTAGCGTAGACGTGATATTCGACTGGCTGTCGACCAAAGGACGTGTGTACTGCTCAGCAGTCCGCTCCGTCCTCCTTTATGGCTGGCTGTCAGACAGGTCCATTGAAAGTGGAAGACATGAAAAGGTCCGGTAGCTGTCTTTGATCATAGGAATCTGTGTTCTATCTCCCGCGTGAAGTGGTATAATAAGGTGAGCAATATTGAAGTTAGGCATCAGTCGAGTGCTAGGTAAGGAGGGAGGAAATCAATAGACGAGGTTGTGAAGTTATATCGATTGAGATGGTTAGGACATGTGTTACGCATGTCTAGCCATCGCCTTCCTCGACGGGCAATGTTAGCTGACATAGGGTCAAGTTGGAAAAGAGCTAGCTGTGGTCAAACCAAAACATGGCTTCATCACTCAATGAAATCCATAACAGTTAGTTTAAGTCACGTAGGGAGGTGTAGACTAGCTTCCTGGTTGGGGTCATCGAAACGGTAAACACCAATGAAGGCTGGAGACAATTGGTGATATGGCTCAAAATCGTTTTCAATGGCTGGCGCAGATGCATCCACTCCTTGTGGAATTATAATACCCAATAAAACTATATTGTTCTTCGATATTACTATTCTTTTTGCCTCATATCTCTGTTTACTGTCTCTATTTTGCGTTTCTTTTTACTTTCTTCTTCCTGGCTTTGTGTGCTGAGTGAAGTGTGGCGACTCGAACTGCTGCACATTGGTGCAAAGTTCTATGTTGAAACCAGTCAGTTAGTTGAAACATGGCCATTAATAGCGGGAGATATAAAGAGATTAACTGTCTTTGACCAGAGATGTTTGTTTTCTATCTCAGACGTTCAGGCATAGAATGTGATGAGTAATGCTGCTGCTGCTGCTGCTGCTGGATTCAACATAGAACTTGGCACCGAGGTGCAGCAGTTCGAGTTGCCACGTTCCAAATAGCACACAAAGGTAGACAGGAAAATGAGAGAGGAGAATCAATAGAATTTAGATAAGTTTAAGAGTGAAACAGAATGAGTAATGGTAGAAAGGAATATGAAAGATTACAGAGACTGAATACATCTGCGTAAGCCATTGACAACGATTTTGAGCCATGTCACCTATTGTCTCCAGCCATTGATTCTTAGAGTCCCGAGGGCCCCAACCCGGAAGTCTGCATCTCCCTACCTGACTCAGTTTAACTGTCAGGGATTTCATGGATTGATGAGGCCATGTTTTTGTTTGGCCACCACTTACTCTTTTCCAACCTGCACCTATATCAGCTAGTAATGCCCGTCGGGGGAGGCGATGGTTAGGCATGCGCAGCACGTGACCTAACCATCTCAATCTATGTAACTTCATAGCCTCTTCGAGTGATTTTCCCTCTTTGCCCAACACTCTACGCCTAACGTCAACATTACTTACCTTATTATACCACCTAACGTGAGAAAGAGATCGTAAACATCTGTGGTCAAAAACAGACAATCTCTTCATGTCTTCCGCTCTCAATGGCCACGTCTCACCGCCATAGAGAAGGACGGAGCGAACTGCTGAGCAGTATACACGTCCCTTGGTTGACAGCCGGATGTCACGCCTACGCCAGAGACGGTGTAAGTTAGCGAAAGCAGCCCGAGCTTTCTGGATCCGTGCTGAGATTTCGTCACCAATCAATCCGTTGGTGCTGATACAACTTCCCAAATAGGTGAAGTGGTCAACATGTTCTATCACTTCACTCCCTATCACTAAGCTAGGAGTTGACGTAGTCCAGTCCTGTAGCAGCATCTTACATTTCACAGGGGCGAATCGCATGCCAAACATACGAAGATTGCTGCTCAAGGTGTTCAGAAGACTCTGCATTTTGTCAGCGTCCTCCCCTAACAGGACTATGTCGTCTGCGTATTCTAAGTCTATAAGACTATTCCCTGGTAACAAGTCGATTCCTAAGTCGTTAAGTTCAGTTAAGGATACTTCCATTAGCATATCTATGATGAAGTTAAACAGAAAAGGGGAAAGTGGACATCCTTGACGGACACCACTGGTTGTTATCAATTCAGATGACAATTCCCCATAAGCCCTTACACAGCTACGTGAGTTTGAGTAGAGTGCCTTGATTAGTGCAATGTACTTTCTTGGCACTCCCTTCACAGTCAAACATTGCCATAGTACCTCTCGATCCACGGAGTCGAAGGCCGCCTTCAAGTCAAGAAATATGGCAATTGTTGGACGCCTAAAAGTGTGTCTATGTTCTAGGATCTGTCGGAGAGTGAAGATATGATCTATGCACCCTCTACCTGGCCTAAAGCCTGCTTGATTTTCCCTCGTTTGTTCCTCCCGAGTTCGGCTTAGTCTGTTCATGATTACTGAGCCTAGGATTTTAGAGACTATGTTCGTTAGGCTGATTCCTCTATGATTATCACATGAGGACTTATCTCCCTTCTTGAATACTGGTATAATAAGTGACTTACCCCAGTCTGATGGAACCGTCTCTGATTCCCAGACGTTACCTAGTACCTTAGTTAAACTATATACTAGTATGTCACCCCCATATTTAAACACCTCCGGAATAATTCCGTCGGGTCCTGCCGCTTTGCCTCGTTTCAAATTACAGATAGCTTTGGTGACCTCACTTACAGACGGCGGGCCAGTGTCTATATCCCATTCGGGTGTGTGCTGGATGGCGGGGAGGCTCAGTGTGGCTGTAGGCAAGTTAAACTGTTCCTCGAAGTGTTCTTTCCAGCGTTCGAGGCGTCTATCCTGAGAGCTAATTAAGGAGCCATTTTTCTCAGAAATAGTCTCACTTATGATTTGCCTTCTCCCACCCGTTTCCCTGATGAGTCTAAAGAGTTGCCTAGTGTTGCCTATCGCCGATGCTTTTTCCATCTCTTTCGCCTTTGTCAACCACCACTGTTCACGGTCCTTGCGGAGACTTTTCGTAAGTTTCCTTCTGTGCAGCTTTCGCTCCTCATTGAATTCGGAGCTCGCCGGAATAAGTCTTCTAGCATCTATCAGTTCGGATGAGGCAGTCGAAATCCAATGGTTTTTACTCACCTTTGGATTTACCTTATTCACAGCTTTTACAGCTGTATCTATGGCTGTTTGAATATTCTTCCAGGCTTCTTCAGGGTGAGCGCAGCTGTCGAACTCAGATATGTGTTTAGCTAGTTCTTCCTCAAATAGGGACTTAGTTTCCTGATCGAGCTGGGGACGTGATGGGTTTACCGCCAACTGTTTCCTACGTCCGTTCAGTCGTAAGCACACACGAGCGCGGACCAGTGCGTGATCGGTATCTACACACGTGTTCCAGAAGGAGCGACAATCTCCTACCGACCCACGCCAACGATAGCTTATTGCTATGTGGTCTATTTGTGTCCAGCGTTGATTTGATGATGGGGGTCGCCAGGTCAAACAGTGTCTCTCCTTGTGTTTGAAGTTAGTGCTTACAAGAAACAAGTGATTATCTGAGCAGAACTGTAGGAGACGGTCACCGTTGTCGGTTCGCTGGTACGGAATTCCGTATGTGCCACCGACATTCTTCTCAGATTGGCACAATTTCCCTACTTGAGCATTAAAGTCACCAGCTAAAACGACTATATCTGAGCGTCTAGCCTTTCGCAGCAAACTAGACAGCTTTTGGTAGAACTCATCCTTCGTTTCATCCGAACTGCAGTCAGTGGGGGCGTAGGCGGAGATTACGAAAAGGCATCGGCGAGTAGTGCAGTCCTTTCTCCTTTTCACTGATCCGTTCAGACGGACAGCACACATTCGGCTATCTACCGGGATCCGGTCGGTCGGTCGGTCGGTTTTCGACATAGAACTTCGCACATATGTGCGGCAGTTCAAGTCGCCACAATCTATGTAGCACGCAAAGCAAGAGAAGAAAGTAGAAGAAATGCATAATATAGACAGTAAACAGAGGTGTGAGACAAAGGAATAGTAATAACGGAGAACAAAAGTTTAATTGGAAATCATAAGTCACAAGGAGTGGATGCATCTGCGCCACTGAGAACGATTTTGAGCCATGTCACCAATTGTTTCCAACCATTGGTTTTTACCATCCCGAGGGCCCCAACCAGGAAGTCTACACCTTCCTACGTGGCTTAGATTAACTGTTGTGGATCCAGTCAAGTAATGTCTTTTCTGCCCTAATACTCAGAGCTATCCCAACACCAGCTAATCCTCGTGAGCTAGCCGTCTCATCTCCTGACACCCTCAAGGTGAATTTTGCAGATTCATCCTGTTGGCCAGGTGGGGTTAGGTGAATAACCACACTTGGGTCTTGTATGTGTGTTTCTGAAACACAACATACATCAATGGTTCGGGATGCCAGTGTCTTGGCTAGTGATGCCTGTTGTCCTATTTGGCAAAGTGTCCTAACATTAAATGCCCCTATATGAAATTGGTGGCGTGGCTTTAGGAGACTATCGATGGTGGTTTTTTGGCTTTCGTCGTTTTCAGTGTACACAGAGTGAAGAGGAAGTGAAGAGCCATTAAGTAGAGGAGTTGCATTAGTAGAAGGAAGGCAAGATAATAGAGATGAAGATGAAGACAAAGGTGAGTGAGGATTAGAGAGGTTTCGCGTGCACTTCGGATTGTGAGGGCGATTGTTACTTCCCGGCTGCCCACACCGTGGAAGTTGGTTGCGTGACCGCAGAGCCCAGGGGACAACTGCTTGAGGCCGGTCACACACGGCCTGTTTTTGTTTGTTGTTTTCCATTTGGTGTGTCTCAGTAGCGTATTTATTACTTCTGCCCTGTGACACGGCAGCAGAAAGCGCGGTCGTTGTTAATCCGGGCCCCGACCGATCCGGCATGAGATTTTGTGATTTATTTGAAGTCATAGGATTGGATTGGGTAACTGCTTTTAGTCTAACCGCTATCCAAACAACCTTTTCTGGCATGGTAGGACCTGCAGGAACATGATTTCCAGCCAGTATAGCTTTTTGGGTCATTGTGGTGTTCAAGCCCGACCACCACGTCAAGGTAGCAGCTTTCGGTCGGGACACACCACACGATGGTAAAGAAAGAAAGAAATTTACGCGAACTTTAATAAGCAGAGACATCCAGGGGAAAAAATAATTACATGGAGAAGCAATCTAAAATCACTGGTTCTTAGCAGTTTACAGACCTCAGTCAAGCAGTCTACACCTACCTCTACGTGGCTTAAACGAACTGTCAAAGATTCTAATAACTAATGTCAGGTTTTGATTTGACCACCCCTAACTCTTTTTCAACCTGATCTTATGTCAGCTAACACTCCTCGAAGACAAAGGCGGTGGCTCGGGATGGGTAACACGTGCTAGAACAATCTCAATCGATTCAGCTTCAAAGCCTCCTTGATTAACTTTCTCTCCTTACCTAAAACTAATCTTAATATTACTCACCATATTATACCACTTAATACAGGTGATTCTGCGAATATCTTAATGATCAAATCAGGCTGAAATCTTGTGAAAATTATGCGTCAAACATTCAAGAATAATATAAACATTGAGAATGTGAAGCCAGTATATCTATCTAAACCCTTTCAACATGCAAAAATGATGTTACATCCCACTGTATTTACCAATTTGAATGTACATGTGCACACTCATCGATCTCTGCAAGTAAGAGATTCAGAGCATATTCCTAAATGGCTCAAGAAACAAATGAAATCTTCAGAACCTATTAATGGTGAGAACAGGAGACCTAACATAAAATTGACATTAACAGATCTTTTAAACCTATCTATGAAACGTGTTTGGCGGGTATCCTAAAGTTTGTGAAAGCCCGAGTAAACAGAAAGTTTAAACCACCTTTATACGTTCAAAACAATTCGTCAACACATTAAATCTTCCTTGGTAAACTTTGTTTTGATACCATAGCAGATGTACTATTACCTCTGTTATTTGGTTTAGTGGTCTTCATTGTTATTTTAACCTTCAATATGTCCTTTTAACTTGACGTAAGTCTATTTTCTCATCTCTTACTTCTTTATTAATTTCATACATATTCCTATGACAAGTTCGTGTGTGAACAGATTGTTCGAAATGTGTTGCGCGAATACATTACACAATTCAGACAAATTACGTCTTCTTATTGCTTTATCCATATTTTAATATTGTGCATGGCAGTTTTGCTTCCAATTTTTTAAATATGTACTCGTTTACCTACATAACTGTGGTAAAAGAGGAGCTATTTTCTGTACTTAGCAAAACTTTACTGTCATAATGTGACAATGTATCGTTCAACGTCGACACTACTAAATTTATATAAAACTGACAACACTAGTAAAGACTGTTAATTATAATTTACACAGTATAGGGAGTGAAGTTAACAATTTGCCTTCCACACACATTAAAACTCATATATTAAAACAATAAGTAATTTTAATACAAAATAAGTACTCCAGAAATTGGAAACGAATACGTATCTACGGCATAAATAACCATTTCTATATGAATTTCAGCAGTAACAACTTCAGAAAACTTAATAACGGCAGCAAGTGAGTAAATGTTACTTGGTTGGTAATCAAAGCTAATAGCATAAGAATTTTTTCTGTTTATCCTTAGGCAAAGATGATTTTACAACAAAAACTAATAGCAATCAAATGCTCTAAACGTGTTTGAGACGGTCTTGCTCACAATAATTATTCTATATCACTATCATATGGCCAACAAACACTAAAACCTCATGTACTTCACCAGCTAGTCGGTGGAAGGATTTGACGCCAGGTAAGTGACCCTAACCCGTAAAAAGTTCAATTGGAACCCCACAGCTTGAAAACAGCTTTGTTCTACTCGGGACCCACAGCAATGAAAACAAGTTATATGGAATAGCAAAAGCACTTGACATTGTAATAAAACGACAAAAAACCGCGTGCAATATAATATACTATGAAATGAAGACAGCAGCAAATGGTGTGGTTTGACCATAATAGATGACATCAAGCACGCCCAAATAACCCTGAATAACCAATTATGGTACAGTGAGATTAAAACTGGTTAATTTGTTGATTAACTCTGGGGGTGTTTCCGCCGAGCTGGAGGTGATGTTTGCTATAGTTTAACCTTCCCCAGCAAATACTTCACAAACGGATAAAAGTAATGTTTGTCTAATACTGATGATACAATACGGTGCCAACACGAATGGCCTACGAACATAGTGTTGCAATACTTGATTCTGATTTTTGAATGAGACAACACCTGGATTCTAGAATACACATGTCAAATATCTTTTATACGTGAAAACGTGTCTAAGAATGTACACAGTTATCCGTGTACAGAGAATTTTCCATAGAATTGTACACACTTTCAATCATAAGCCCTAAAACGATTAAGCTGTCTAGTTTTACTCAGTGCTGGATTGTAATCAGATTTCATTACGAAGAGACAAGGCAGAGAGTGTAAATCGAAACATTTACATTCACGTGTTCAATCAATTAGCAAAATAAGCTTAAGTGTAGGCTTAATTAAAAAAATTAAGCCATAAGAATGTGCAGAGTCTAGTTAAATTTTAGTTGCATCATTGTTATCAAGTAAGACAAACTGAATAACAAATCCTTGATATTAAACCTACCACACCCTTGAACAATTCATTGTGACCGCGTAACTAAGTCCTTGCGAAACACCCTAGACGTTTAGCACAGTAAAACTAGGTGAACGAGATGGGGATGAGAAACAAATTTTGCAATGTTTCGAGAGATTTTTCGTCGATTAAACTCGCAATTATCTCAATGTTTGGTATTTTACATGGTGGTGAAGTGTGGGGTAACCGTAACTTACAGGTTCCACTATCAAATATCGTTTTTACGAGCTAGTATAAACCAATTTGATTTCTTTGTGCTCGCCTCTTGATTGTGAGGTAGAGGTTCCTGATCTTCGGTAAACTAAAGACTAGTGCAAGTAAGTTGTTTGCAGTTGTTCTGCTTTTCCAACACATTTATTAGCGAGGGTATGGACTACTGTTTGAGCATAGAATGGCCTAATAAACAGAAAAACCAAAGCTTCCATCTCACTCCGACGACAAAACTCACCCATGAAACCACTGAGTTTGGTTTCAAAACGCCTGAAGTGTCCTGGGAGTCTATCTGTGCCCCCCTGCTGTAGTAGCTTCCTAGACCCAGCAGAGCAATATAGGTGGGAAAATGTTTTACAAAGCCCAGGAAATGGGACAGTTTATGAGATCTTATTTTCCCCACAGATATTACGTAATATAATATACATTTCACCACTCATTCTTACACAGTGGTTACAAGACTTATCCGATCCTTAAACGTCACACTATGGTGAATCTCATGATACCTCGTTGACAACAAAGTATGAATGTTTTTCCCCTTGACTTTCGGAGGATTTGCAATGCCATACAACCAATCAGGTTTGTTTATTTGTCTATAGCTTGAGTTCCCGAGGTTTTGTAATCTGTGTGTTCCGAATAACGAAACATCATTGTGGTTCTCTTCTTGTCACAGTTTAACCTGGCTTTCATGTCCATCTTATTGTGGAGGATATTTTCAAGTGATCATTTGGCTATGGTATCGTGTTTCGAAGCTGATTCTGGTCAGGTTATATGACAGTTACAAAAGCAGTAACATTCTGTTATGAAATATTTTTTGACGATGTCACAACCTGTTTTGAAGGGTTTATTCAATTCAGTGCAGCCATCATGTATTTTGTCGATGAAGAAACCGAAATTCTAATAATGTATGGAGTCATCTCCAGCGGAACGTTTAAAACATGTCCTTCATTTTGAGCAGTTTCAGTTATTCTGGCAACAGCAACAAAAGCTGAATAAAGCATCCCAAATGAAACTGATAGAAACTCTAACCAACAAATTATCCTTGTAGTCATCTAGTCATTATTACTGTGAGAAAAGTGATTCTGTTCTCAATTATGATGCTTTGATTATTTTTGACTCATGGTTTGGAAGGCTTGCAGATTTATTTGAAGTGGAAGTAGCCGAATTTGGATCCAGTGAACATGTTAAGTATGTTGATTTTATCCTGCTGGAACAACACTAACTTCGATGAAACCATCCAAAATCCTCGTAAAATTTTGGCGAAAAATTCATCACTGTTCAGTATCCTCTATAATTTTTTAAATTTATCCAAGGAACAGTGTGATGATTTCCATACCTTCGCTAGCACAGTCAACTGCGACTGTTAATATTTGCTGCTGGATTCACATTCTCAGGGGCATTTCAAATGCTTAACTTTCACTTGTAGTTCACTTTCTCCAGCTAACTCCGGAGTAAGAACACACATTTTATCTTGTATTGAACGGAACCCTACAATGACTCTTTACTAGACTTTATCTGAGTCTCACAGGCGGATGAACTTAAAGCGTGATACAAAAATGATTCAGAATAATTATCCTCATGCAGGTTATGTCATACATGTCATTACATCTGGTCGTAATTATTCCAGGTCTCAAATTTTTGAAGTAGTTTTCAAGCTGTGTACTGAGTATTGGTTTGGTGTTGAACGGCATTACGGTGGTGTTTGCTGATAAAAGGAACAAATTTAGAAAATGTCGTAAATATGACAGTAAAGAAGGATTTTGCAAGCCCATCTTTGTTGGCTGACATTCAGATCCATTTAATTGTAGGTGGATGTTTGCTTCAAGGGAGATCAAGGCAGTTTACAATGTTTCTAATGTGCGAATATTAAACAAACAGAAATATGTAGAAGTTTTCTTAAATGGTCACCCAGTTCACCTTCAGATTGACACCGCTTAAGACATCAGCTCGATCTGCCTCAAAAGTTGAAATTCAGCTGGATATCCGCCAGTTTTTGCCACTTAGTATGTCACCATAAATGCTTCTGGAGATATATTCAAGTCATTTGGTAAAATTTCTCGAGGTATCAAATTAATGTCAAAGAATTCCATGTGTTTATGTCTTCTTACAAATAGTCATAATTTGAATCTGCTTGGCATTGAGTGGATTGATAAACCATCCCTTGGGGAAAAGCGTCTGAATGCAATTTTTTCATAATAATACTGATAATATATTCTCAATTGTTGTACATGACGGATGCCAATTGTCAGGCATCATCAATATGATAAACAGCATTCACGAGGAGTAGGGATATTTGCAATTACTCGCTTACGCAAGATGCACGTATGAAAAGATTATGGAATAATACCTATAATGTCACTTTAAACAGGCGGACACGAAGTGCACAGTATAATGCAAAGTGTCTCCATTGAAGAAATTTAACCAAAATGCGCGTCATATCTGATGGTCGTGTTACTGGAGACACGTACGCACCGCACGTTATTCATAAAGCGATAAAGCTAGTTTGTAAAACTTTAGTTAGTTCGCCGAAAATGATGTTATTAGAATATTAAATGTCAGTGAAACACCACAACAGTAAGTGTTCAGTTAATTATACGAGAAGTAAGTTGCAGCAATAGATAACTTTCCGTCCATTCGCAGCCTGGAAACAGAATAATGTCCAACTAATCCATATAAAATAACACATTGGAGTATATATGAGCTGGAAATTATCATCACGCGAGTCAGTGAGATTTCAAATGCAACCATCAGCATTTGTTCATGATTTCTTAGATAACCAGATTTATTGGCGCCGTACAGATAGTGATAGGGATATTTTATTGGTGAAAAGGTAATACCCCACAAATGTCATCCAGGATGAGTCACGGAGGAAGGTAATGGGTTATTCACGAGGCACTTGTAGGAGATGGGACCAGTAGTATTTTCAGATTATCTGTCGTTGTATGTTACCAAATATCTGCATAAGTATCTACTCCTAGAATACCTGTAGATGGAAACATTATAAACATAAGGCAGTATTTAGTGACTCCTCGGGTTGTTTCACACTTCCGAAAGCCAAATTTACCTCGAAATGATGCTACGCCAGTCTTCAAACCAGAAAGATTGGTTTGTTATGCAGCCCTCCAGTCAGTCAACCGAGAGTTAGATGGACTAGAAGAATTGGGTGTTCTGAAACAGGTGAACATCCGCATATGGGCAGCGCCAATTCTTGCAGTGAAGACGGTGAGTGGCGTAGCACCAATTATGCAGATTTCGCTACTGGTATGAGCAATGTTTTTGAGGTTCGTTCGTATCCACTGCTAATATCAGACGACAATTTTGCGAAGCGACATGGTGGAAAATAGTTCGTGAACCTAGATTGTCTGATGATTATTCACAGTTATAACTGGATGACTCATCGAAGTCGGTCTAGACTATCAACACATACAGTGGATTACGCCATCATCAGAGATTACTAGTCGTTATAAAGACAGCTCCAGCCACTAACTAGCAAATTATGGAATCCCAGGCGCAGCAGCGCGTGCAGACGGTGTGATTATGTCTCGGATAACTCATGAAGTACTTATCAATCGAGTTGACTACATGTTGTCGAAATATCTTGACTATGTGGTGGGCAGCCGGACCTAGAAAACGCTGTAGCCATTCAGAGGATGCGCACTTCCCACAACATCAATTCTTCACGTTCCGTTTCAGGAATAGCTAATTTTTGCAGTCCTTTTATCGCAGAAATCCATCGATTATGAAAACCGTTGGACAAGCTGTTGGAAGAAAATATAAAGCAGGATCAGTTGAACGAATGCCGACGTGCGTGTGAGAATGTTGAGGAAATGCGATAATATGATAGACTCCACGCTGGAAATTATTGTTGCAGCTGATGCATCCGATTATGTTGTCGGCGATGTCATCCCTCAGCTGTTGCCAAATGGTATTGAAAGACCAGCGGCACACATTTCAGAAGCTCTGGCAAAAGCCAAACCGAACTGTCACAACTCCGCGCTATCAGTTTTCGGTTCAAAGAAAGGAATTCATATTCGCACACAGATCGGAAGATATCTTCTTGGTTTTTTTAAAAAAAACAGTCTGAGTCTACATGTAAATTTGGCAAGGTCGACATACTGTTATACCTTTTCGAAAACCATGAGTTGGAAAGTGAAGACATGATGGTGGCTGCGGTTTCTGTGGATCCAATAAACAATTTCGTTTTTTGTGAGATGGCCTTCTGCCCGCTTCTAGGTCGTGAAGTATAGGTTCCTGGTCTTCAGTAAACTTCTGAGTAATTCGTCCCGCCACTCGACTGCCGTAGTTTTGGTTGACTTCAAAAGGACTGGTGCTGGGATTAATTATCTGTCGTTTGTAGTATGTGGTGTGTTAAGACTTCGTTGTCACTGTGAATGGAGTTGATCCTTTCACCACCTATTCCTCAAGTGTCGTCGATAAAAGAAAAGAGGAAGTAGTAATTATAACAGATATAACTGGTGTAGGTTATTCAGAAGAAGAAATAAAGAAAACGCAAAAACAGACAGCTAATGTAATCTGCATTCGGTATATGTATTTATATGCACATAAATGAATGTATATAATGTCAGTAATGTTAACAGTGTAAGGGACGTGATAGTGGGAGTGGTGAGGAGAGTAAGACAGGAAAGAATGTGAAGAAGTAGAATGATGAGTGTAGATGTCTGCCCATTAATAGTGCATGAGATTTTAAGGTGGCTGGCTGTTTAGACACAGTCCATGCGCCTCTGTATGATTGTCCAGTCTTAGCTTAAAGCTGTCCACGTATGGTGCCATTGCCACATCCTC